ATGATCAAAGAGAGGACAGACTTTTTTACTGTTGGGTAACAGCTGTAGCTTCTGAGCGCATGCTCAAAAAACCGCAAAGAAAAGATTAATTTTTGAAATAACTATCTTTAGACAAAAGTGGAGAGTGATTAAAAGCAAGAGAAGTATTACTCGTAAACTGCGTTAATGTTTTTGGTATCTAAACAAACATTGGCATAAATCAGCGGTTCTAAAAAAGTGTTCCACGGAACCCTAGGGAACACAGGGGTTCTGAGATTGAGGATGTGTTTGCGATATGCAAAAACGTGCATTGAAAACGCTTCAGAAACATCATTCTTATAAAGTTACAGGATTGGAAAGTCCGCTCAACATTGCCAGGGGTCTGTCCAGACATTTTGTGAAAGGTCCGTTTTCGTAAAATTGTGAAAAAATGACTCGTAATTTGTGAATATAAAATAAACGTTAAGTCACATTTTTTCAACCAGGGTCCGCTCTTGTGAATTTGTGCAAATAGGGTCCGTTATTGCAAAAAAACTTTTTCAACGAGTTTTTAAATAGTAAAGACATACAAGATTATGCTCAACACTGTAAACAGGGGCTGTCCAGACAATTTGTGAAAGGTCCGGTTTTCGTGAAATTGTGAAAAAATTACTCACATTCCTTCAACCAGGGTCCGCTTTTATGAATTTGTACAAATAGAGTCCGGTTATTGCAAAAAACTTTTTCAAGCAGTTGTTAAATTGTAAATAGACACAAGATTATGCTCGGCACTGTAAAATTATAATTAAAAAAATTAAATTTTCAAAAATAAACAACAATTGCTGCTTCTAAATTAGAGATGCATCATACAAATATTTGGTATTTAGCCTATACTGCTGAACGCAGAACATTCATTTCGGACGAATAAAGGAAGGACAAAGCTCGTTTGCATTTGTCTTTCTTCCGCCCTCCTTCCTGGAAAGGATTTATTCGATTAACAAAACAATAATGAAGATAAACAAATTTGTGAAGGGTCCGATTAAAAGATAAATTATTTTGTGAAGGGTCCGTTTTTATGAAAAGATATTTTGTGCAGGGTCCGCTAACGAACCCAAATTTTTTCTAAACAGACCCCTGAGGGGGAAAATTCTTTTCTGAGTGTCACTGGTGCAATTCCCGACCCATATTCTCAAATGCTTAGGTTTTACTGGCGCGAGATTTTAAGGGATCCGTATTTGTTTTTAGACTTTTTTTTAGAGATTTTTGGTTTTATGTGAGATAAGAAACAACAGCAATAACTCTGGAGGGAACATTTTTTTTTCTTCCTGTTGCATGAGATTTTTTTTAAAAACAAATCTTAGATATTTTTGTATCGCTGATTTCAAATCTGCAACGGCTTTCTCTCTCCCAGCTGATGATATTTTTTAAAATTACATTAATATAAATTTTATAAAGCTTATAAAATTTTATCATTTTGTAATTTTATCAGATTGCTTCAGAGACTATTAGGGGTAGCGAAAATGTTGCAACCAACTTCTAGGGGAGTTAGAGTACATCATCAGGATTAAAGTTGCTTAGGAAATGGGGGCCTGATTTATCATGAGACATGAGAGGCCCAAGATTAGGATCCCTACATGTCTGGAAACCCCCTAAATGTTACAAATATTTACGTTTGTTTTTTTTCCTTAGAATTAATTGTTTATAAAAATTAAAGAGTTAACCGAAATTGAAATAAATTTTAGCACACATTTACAAATATATTACAACCTATCTATGTTTTAAAAAAAGGGAAAATAATTTTCTAGATGAATAACATGTAAATTTAAGAACCAATGGAACCTCCAACAGTTTTGTGCCTAAGACCGCCTTATTTCTAAATCAGGAATTATGAATTAACAATGTGTTAGTTAGAATTATGAGTTTACAAAAATCGAAATAAATTTTAGCACAAATTTACAAATGTTGTTACCAAGTTATAAGGGATTTAAAAGTATTTTGTAAATAAACATGTAAATCTTAGGACAAATAGGACCTTTAACAGTTTTGTGCCTAGGACCCCCAGATTTCTAAATAAGGTCCTGTAGGAACCCATGTTTCATCTTGTGCTTTTGAACAGGTCATAATAATAGGAGAAGCGCCCCTAGCGGCGTGCGAGGACATTTCCGGGTATAGGATACTAAACTAAGCCGTTTTAATCCTGTTGATGTACCCTAACTCCCCTAGAAGTTTGTCGCAGCATTTTCGCGACCCCTAATAGTCTCTGAAGCAATCTGATAAAATTACAAAATCATAAATTTTATAAGCTTTATAAAACTTATAATAAAAATAAATAAATAAATAAAACTTCTAACAAGGTTATAATTTTCTGGTACTGCATTTGACGTTTTTTCCCATTTACATTATTTCTAGTTTTATACATACCGATTTAAAAATAAATTAATTAAATTCTACCCTTTTGCACTAATTAATTCTCCGAAATTTCGTGTAATTTACACAATTGTCTTGGAAATGACAAAAATTTAGTGAGATCAAATTTTATGGAATTCGTTAAATCACATCAAAATTTTATCTTTTCTCCCTTACTTTTGAACCATTCTGCTTGTTGCCCCATATGTCTGAAAATATGTAGGCTAATCAAAAATTTTTTGCTCACTAACATAATAATTTTTATGTTTATTACCTGTAGGCTAATGCAAAAGTATTATTTTATATATTTACTGCATATCAGGGTGAATGTTAGTGCGTTATTGTTATTTATTTTATCTAACACCCTCTCATTAAAATAAGTACGAAGTCGGTGATGCGTAATAGCTTTTTTTTTCCTCACCTCTCAGAGTCACAATAGAAATTAATTCAATACCTCATAAAATTACCCATGAAAATGTATTAGTCTATTGTTATATGTGATTGGTTTGCATGTTATTCAGCTGTTATCCGCACCTTAAATAACAATTCAATTTCATATAAATATTTTGTTTCCGAAATATACAATGATTGTAGTGTTTGTATAAGAATATTTTGCTGGTATGTTAATCGTAACGAAATAGACGATGACCTAGATCTGAAAACTAATCAACTGTACAAAAAAATTTAACCTAAGGAATACAGATTATGAGATGCAAAAATAAAAAAAATAAATAAATGAGAAATTATTTTAGTCATAGACGAAACTTATAACAATTCAAATGGGGAACGGTTTTTATAGTTATTTATTAACTTTATTTTTCAAATTTTATAACAAATGTCAAGATTTATTTTTATTTTATTTTATAACCGTCCGTTGAACAACCGACCCAACTTTATGGGTTTACGACTATTAATGTTCAACTCCGTAGCCTTGTAATTTTGAACCCAATCCAGAAGACAAGGGAACTCTCCTGGATCAAGTATTGGGAGAAATTTGCTGGAGGACTTTTTGATGGAGCTAAACCGCATTTGCGTTACATGGAGAGGAAGACCACGAAAATCTCCCACGGTTACCCTGACGGCAAGGGGACTCTAACCCATGATCCGTCTACCACTGAGGATCTTTCACGTCTGCACTGTGGTCATTGCAAGCCGGATGCGGAATTCGTATCGACTGGGATTCGAACCCGGTTCGCCTCAATGTCAAGATTTATATCTGTCAACTTGTAATCCATCTCTCTTCTTTTGATACTATTCATTGATATCTACACGGATGCGAACTTATAAAATAAAGATCTTGTATTGGAAAAATAAATTTTCTACAACAATGGATAAATAGTCAATATCTAAAGTAAATAAGCTGAAAATATATCACAAAAAACACTCAAATTTGCTATAAATTTCGTATACAGCGTGACAAATTTCAACTGCATAGTTGCATTCCTGTTGCTCTAGAGCGGCCAACAAGATATTTTTACTTACAAGTTTAACAGTTAACAATTATCTAACTAATAACTCGAACCAACTCTAATGTTAATTTTTTATTCTATTGTACCCTTGTACATTTTTCTACTCATCTTCGTAATTTCCAGTTTCTACGTCTTATAGTTTTTGCACAGCGAAACAAAATTTAATGTTAAAGGTGAACATTCAAAACAGCGGCGTCCGCGGCCCTTACGTTTTTTTTTTTTAATATCGAGAGATATTTATAATATTTAGTTAGTTATACTTTTAAGATTTATTTATTTATTATTTTTTTTTTTTACCTATGCGAAACTACTATTTTTTTCTAAAAAAAACTAAATAGTTATTACTTTTTAATAATGCTTATTTTATGTCAGTTTGAAAGGAGCATTATTTCATCAATTTTATAGGAATTTTTCAACTGTTCTCTTTTATTAAATACTACGTAAATGCTTAAGATTGCACCCAAAATTAATTAATTAAAGTACTATAATGCATGTCAGTGAGATTGCTGAAGGAGGAAGAGGTACTATGAAGAGGTAAAATGGAAAAGTCATCTTTTTTCATCATTTTTTATCTCTTGTCGTACCCCAGACACCGCGTAATGTTAATATTGAAGATTCTCTGTACTCACCTGACCAAAGTAATTTTAAATTTTCATCTGCAAAATTATTTTATTGAAAAAAAAATGAGTTAAATTAATGTTTCATTTTTTCGTGTTTTTTATTTTTTTATTTGACGAAACTCGTATTTTTTATGCAATTGCTATTCAAATTGGCATTGACAGTAGTAATGTGGACACTTGCGCACCGTCCGCATTAACATCGAAGGTAAGCTGGTGCCCTTCTATCTGAAGCATAGGGTAAGCATCAAGGATATAATTCCGGTTATTCTACTGACAAGAAACGCCAGCGTTTAGAAATAATTTTCTGAATTAGCTGACACAGAATAGAGTAAATGTGCATATTTCAGGAAAATTTATTTTTAGTTTCTAGAATTTATTTTTAAAAATCTGAACTATACTTGTACGATAAATTAATTTATTTTAACGATAGATTGGTTCGATGAGGTATTATCATTCCATATCACAGTTTAATTCCATATAAAATATATTAGTGTATAAATCCTCACTTTGATCGAATTTTATTTAATTTCATTACTTTTAAAAGCACGAAAACAGAATAGATAGTTCGATGAGATATTATCATTCTATATCATTTTTCTTCAGTTACAGTTTTTTTCCATTTTAAATATATTTTTGTATAAATCCTCACTTTGATCGAATTTTATTTAATTTTAATTACTTTTAAAAGCATGAAAACAGAATATTTTTGCGCAGCAGTCGGAAACGGAGGCAATTTTGAACGGCCAAAAATTTTCACGGTAGACAACGGAAAGTAATGTATGTCTTGTTGCGTCATCGGGCAGGATGTGAGCCGTGCAACAGGCTGCCATTTTAAATTATTTATTTATTTTTTCCTGGCGCAAAACGCTCTGTTCGCTCCGAGTATGCTTCATTGATCGCCTTTAATTTTTCATAGATCTGATTTGTTGCTGCTAATTCATGGAGAATGAAGAACGGAAATGTTATCTAAAAGAACGTGTTATCTGCTATCTCTATATTTATTAATTCTACTGTTGACAGCGTGTTTGACATGGATGAAGCAGTTCCTTGTTTTTACATTCCATAATAGATATCGCTGACGAATATGATATCTTTCTCTATAAAAAATATTAGTATTGATTTAGTATTTATTTATACAACACTGGTGGTAAATTGCATTTAAATTATATACGTAATTTTTTTTATAATGCACATTTCCATTTAAAGTCATCTTGTTTTGAAGTTAGTAACTATAAATCTTTGCTTCAATTCATCTTTGGTGTTATAATAATATATATTTAATATTCAAATTATTTCATATTTTCTAAATTTTCTTCAAAAATCTAATTTCGAAGTATGCAACTATAAATATCAGTTTCTTTCCTTTATTTTTACTCAATTATCTTAATTTTTTTTATAATGAAACATGCTATAGCTTTAAATAATTTATGCTATAAAATTAACTTTTCGTCTGAATATTTTTGTACAAATAAAATTTTTTCAGTATTATTGTTGTTAATATTTTTATGCTTACATTATTTCTTCTACAATATATTAAAAATTCTGTTTTATTTTAATTTTGAAGCTTGTAACAACCATAAACATTAGATGTTGCTTTTATTTTGTAGTTTGTAACAACTATAAAGACAACAGCAGATGTTACTTTACCTAATTTCGTTGTTTTTCATACATTTCAATTTATTTATTTTGTAAAAAAGGTTATAAATAAAACATAATTATCCTTTTTTCATAATCTTAATATTTGATTTATGTAAATAATAGTTTTATCATATAATGTAACATTCCATCAAAATATTTTTTTCAAATGAATATTTTTCTTTATTAGTTGTATTTTGTTATATAAGTTCTAAAAACTATAAATAAAACATCAAATGTCATTTCATTTTTTTTTGTATTTTAATTTATTTATTTGGTATTAAAGTTATAAATAAAAGATAACTAATTTTTCTCTATGACCTTAGTATTTGATTTATATCTGCAATAGTTTTAATATTTCATGTTTTGAAATTAACTTCCATTTTTATCTAAATAAAACTTGTCCCATGTTGATTCTATTTTGAAGTTAGTTACAACATCAAATGTTGCTTTATTTCTTTTATCTTTGTTTTATTAACCTTAATATTTGAAAAATGTGCAATAGTCTTTATATTTTACCATATAAATGTAAATTTTCACCAAAATATTTTTTTTGCAATGAACGCTTTTCTATTTTGGAGTAAATTTTTACAAATTTAAATATCATATGTTTATGCTGCTTTTCTTACTTCATTTTATTTTGTTTATAACCTTATAATTAAATGATCTATGAAATTATTTTACCATTGAATCAATGATACATCTACATTTTAAGAAAGTTTTTCTTCTTTTTTTAACTGAAATTTTTCTGTAATTTGTAATAATAGTAAACAACTGATGATGCTTTCCTTACTTCATCTAATTTTATTAAATATTTGAACAGCTTTGATAAATACAGATAAAATTTTTTATGTATTGTTTATTTATATATTTTGAAGTTAGTTATAACTATTAACAACATTATAGTTTTCCTTACTTCAATATACTTTTTATTTATATTGTGCATAGAGCAAATTTCACTTTCTGTTTCTTTTTTCAAATTAACTTTTTATTTGTAATCTTTGCATTAAAAATAAATTACCAATCAAATTAATCAATCTTATTTTATTTTAAAGTTTGTAACAATTATTTACAAATTATGCTTTCCTTATTTAAATTTTTTTTTTTTTTTTTATAACCACAGCATTTCAATATAATATTTATAACCATAATTTTTAATTATAAACTTGTTCTTGTTAACTATATTTTATCACTAGATAAAATTAAATTTTCATCTAAACATTTTCATTTGGGATAAGCATTAATTTTTGTCTTCTGTACTTTAAATGTATTTTGCCTCTTCAGTTAAAATTAAATTTTCAACATCATTTGAAGAAAATTGTAAATCAGTAGGTATCAGCAGTAAAATAAAAATATGGAGTTTCAGATATTTGAAGAATTTTTTTTGGGAAAACTGAACATGTTTTTGTAATAACTACTAATGTTAAATATTTGTTTTATTTTTAAATAAAAATTGAAGTTTTTAAACTTAATGTTTATGTTCTTAATCCTTTAATTGATTTTACACTTGGGCAGTTTGTACAAAAATTCACTGCTAGCAGCAATATCCCCTTTGAATAACTTGCAAAAATCAGCACTTTGTCCCGAAAAATAAAAAGTTAATGCCCTCAGTGGCAAAACCAGCACAGCACAACCGTGGGTCACGGTTACATTTTAGCTTCTCAGACAAAATTTGTTTAAACTTAAAAATGTTTATATCCCTAATTCTCCAATATAACAGTTTGTCTTTAATCTTGATTTAAGTTTTCATATTCTCTAATTAAGTTTAAATTAATTAATTTTTAGTGCTTCCTTTTATTAGTGCTTTTAATTTATCACACACTAAGACATTCTGAGTATTTGAATACAAACATTTCAACATCTGAATAAAGATATCTTCTTCATACTCTGCGGATAAATTTTAGAATTTTTCTATGGTGCTGCAGATCAATACAAGGTTTCTGAAAATTGTATTGTACTTACTTAAAATAAGTTTAAATATCATGGTCAAATAAGGTGATCTTGACAGATTTCTTTCTAGAAATATTTCATTAATTAAATAAGAGGAAAAAAAAACTTATAATAACTTTCTTTTATTAATAAACATTTGTTCCCAAAACTTTTGTAATGAAATTTCAATTAAAATAGAATTTGTTTGATACTTATAATATTTTATTATTTTCAGCACAAAAGGAAATCGCCATGTTAGAAGTAATGTTCATTGTATGTTTAATTTCATCTGTATTTTCATCTGAATCAGAAATATTACTATCTAGTCAACTTTTCACATTTGCACAGCCACAATCATTTTTACAAGTTAAACCAGTATGGTCATTGCCATCCATCAGGGAGGTGACATTTCAATTTAGGTAAGACTCATTAGGTCAGTGTTTAAATAGTGTTCAACGGAACTGTAGGGTTCCGTGGAAGAGTTAAAAGGGTTCAGCGAGTTATGATTTTTATAACTAGTGATAAATTTGAAAACCTTTCATTATATTTAGATCCAACTTATAATTTGTAATTTATTTAATCTTTCGGTTGCCCTTGTGAAATGATTTAAAATAAAATACCAATGAAATAGAAATGGCATTTTTAAATAGGAAATATAATATTTCTATAACAAACTATGTATGAAACAAGCAATACAAAGAACAAGCTAATATAAAATACTGTATTAGTATTTCTTATCATGACTTTCAAATCTAAATAAAGTTAATAAATTACTTAATAAATAAAGTAATATAATAAAATAGAAATAATAAAGTAATATTCATTTGCGACATTTATAGCAATTCTTTAAATTTTTCATTTTGAAGTATACCATAATTTGGCTTATTTTATTCATATACAGCTTATCTATATGCACCGAAAACAAATTAATAACTTGACTAGATGTAGCAAAAGGACTGCAAATTTAACTGTTGGACATTAAACCTAATTTAAAGTTAATAATAATAAAACAATTAAAAATCTTTATTCCTCTAATTAGTTATTTTAAAAATATTCTTCTATAAGTTATAATATTCACAATGACCTGATTAAAATTTATAAGTTTGGTGTTCCGCCTAAATAATGTTGCTTATTTAGGGTTCAATAGCCGAAAAAAATAAGGAACCACTGCATTAAAGCAAAATCACAATAATTGATTTAAGTTGTTTCCATCGCAGCATAANAAATTTTTTTTTTTCCTCTTAAGATTTTAGGATTTTTCTTTCTTTTTTGAAAATGTTTACCTTACCATCATTTTGGAAATAATCACTAGTGTATTACTTCATCTTTTTTTCTTCTTTTTAAGATTATTTCCAAATATTTTTTTTTAGTTGGGTTTAACAATAAAAAAACGACTTTTTGTAGCGATTCAGAAAACCGGAAAAATCAGTTATCCGGAATAGCGATGGTCCCGATCGTTCCGGATAATCGGTTCCCTACTGTACTTATTAGCAGAACATATTTCTTTAGTGTTGATATTTTTTTATCTTTATTTTCAATTGAAAAGTTTGATGACAAATTCTTAATGATGCTATTTTTCATAAATGTATATCCTTTTCATAATTTATTCAATATATTGTTGTCAAGAATTTTTTTTTTAATTTTGCTAGTTTATTCTTTCTGGCATTTTCTTTAAGTAATTTAATAATCTATAAATTAACTAATTATTGTATTGTTAATTGGATATAAATGAAATCAAAGGCTTAAATAATTCCTAGTTCTTGGCACCCCTAAGGCCCTTATCCGGAACTCAAGGGTTCTACGTAACGTCTTGTAGGAACTGCTGTACTACAGCAGTTGACGAAAATCAGAGAACTCTGTTTACATTTCTTTTGTAATGCATTTTATGTATATACATGGTACATAGCGTTTTTAAAAAGTGTTAAAAGGTGCTTATTTTCGATTTTCGTTTTTTAAAAGTCCTTAAAGGTGCTTTTTTTCTGCTTTTTTTCATTGGGTGTTTTTTAAAAGTGCTCAATTTTCCCTTTTCCAAATTGTGATTTTTTCCTTTACCATGTTGATTTTCGCTATGAATTATGCAGAAAGACGCTGTACACTTCGTTCTATTCAATGTTTTCACAATTCATTTCAGCGTACCGCCGGTCTATGGCGTATAAAAGCGCCAATCATTTTACATGTTTGATTAAATTTTGATAAAAGCTCTGAGTTGTCATTGTGTAGAACTAATGTTCGATATCTGGCTGCTGGGCATGAATCTCACTCAGCTTCAAATCGATGGTCTAACTTGTCTTATTCTAACTTGTCTCAGAAATCAAAGCAGCCGAAGCCCACAAAGAGTTGTTGAGTGGTTCTTTACTTTCTTTTAATATTTATAGACTATCTATGATAAATAACTCATCTCAAATAATTAACTGTTATTCTACGGACGAAAATAGTTTTACTTTTTTCTTTTTATTTTACATTAAAAGGAAATAGCATGCAATTGTTTTCCATTACTGTCCATGGTGCATAGCCTTTTTAAAAAGTGCTTAAAGGTGCTTATTTTCGATTTTCGTTATTTAAAAGGCCTTAGAGGTGCGTTTTTCATTGGATGTTTTTAAAAAGTCCTTAATTTTCCCTTTTCAAAAATGAGATTTTTTTTCTCATTTTTGAAATGAGATTGTCGATTTTCGCCGTGTCGATTTTCGTCACGGAGTATGCAAAAGTGTGCTTTTTACATTGTTCTATTCAACGTTTTCACAATTCATTTAACCACAATCCATTTTGGTGTACCAACGGTCCATAGCGTATGAAAGCGCCAATCATTTTACATGTTTGATGAAATACTTGCGAGTCCGTATGTAGTACGTCTACTGAGTTGGATTCGGTGAGATAATTGCCTTCTCATGTGCAACTCTGCTGCATTTTGCAAGATATTCTTAATTTCAGACTTCATTTTCCACCCTCCGAATCGAAAAATCTCTCAATCATTTTATAGTGTCTAATATAATCAAGAAAAGAGTTCTTTGTCAGAAACTAGTAATTTTCTCATGATCATCTAAAGTTTTTTAAAATTATCTTGCATTTTGTTAATATGTATAGTGCTTAAAATATTTTTTGAGTGTTTAAAAGGTGCTTATTTTTTATTGAAAGATTTTGTTACGCTCCCTGATATAGCATTATTCACTTTTCAAGATATTCTAATTTCAATACCCATTTTCGTCAACATAAAATGATTTTTCTTTTTTAGAACTACTCGTCCTCATGGTCTCTTACTCTTTCATGGCTCAGTGACAGATTTTAAAATCTTTCCATTATATGAATTATATGTAATGCTTGAGAATGGGCAAATTAAAGTCATTCGTGTTTTCCATGATTATTCAGATGATACTATTTTTATTGGAAAAGGTGAGTCTTTAATTCTTTATTTCATGATAGTGTTCTTTTAGAAATTAATTATTAAAGAGATTTTTATGCATTTCAGGACTAAACAGAGACAAATGGCATTATGTAACATTGAGAATAAACCCAGGAGGTGGTGTTTTTTCAGTCAAAGTTGATACTAGTGAACTAACTGTTACATTACCTTCATTGTTTCAAGGCCCCAACAATGGTTTTAATAGAACGCTGCCTCAAACAGTTATGTATTTTGGAGGTATGGATTATTCACTTATATGTGAAATTATATATACATTAAACTAAATAAGCGAAAATTTTTATGAAAGCAAAAAGTTTGCTCCCTCATGCTTCACTTATGATAAGATATGACTTTAGAATGAAAAATAACAGAATAAAGAATAATGCAATAGAGTTTAGAATAAGAATATGAATTTATTCTAACATTATATATATAATATATTTTTAAAAAAATTATGCTTTATAACCTAATTGAGGTACATTTTAGAACTTTGATACTAAAGATTGCTCTCGTGTGAAACGGTGCATAGCATTTTTAAAAAGTGCTTAAAGGTGCTTATTTTCATTTTTTGAAAGCCCTTAAAGGTGCCTTTTTCATTGGGTGTTTTTAAAAAGTACTTAATTTTCCCTTTTTCAAAATGATATTTTTCCTTTACCATGATAAATTTCACCATGAATTATGCAAAAAGACACAGTTTACATTGTTCTATTCAACGTTTCACAATTAATTTAACTCCAATCTATTTTGGGGTATTGTCAGTCCGTAGCGTATGAAAACGTCATTCGTTTTACATGATTCAAAATTTCATGATTTTTGACAATTGTCAAAACAATGCCAAAAGGTTTTTTCTTTTGACATGACGGTTAAAACAAGATAAAACCGTCAATTGTCAAAAACTTTCCAATCCTGCTTAATTATATTTTTTTAAAGTGCTTAAAAATATTTTTTGAGTGCTTGAAAAGAGCTTATTTTTTGTTGAATAATTTGGCTACCCACCCTGGTGAAGTATTTTACTAAACCATGGTTGAATAAACAAAAACAATTTCACATAATTGGGGTTAGCACATTAAAGCATTTATCTGTGCTGCTTTATAATTTTAAAAGCTAGGTAGCTTCTTTTTCTTAAAAAATTGCAGTTTTTGTTATGAAAGAAGTAAAAATAATTAATTTTAAATGATGCGTTAAAATAAAATCCAAAAAGACTAATTTGTCAAGTATTTTTGTATCCCAAATAATTTTCTTAAATTTTAATATTTCATACTATCTACTAATTTCTATATTTTACCATGTATTTCTGAACTATGTTCTTCCAACTTCTGGTATGAATAATAAAGTTGAGGTTCTGGAAGCTATGGATGTAGCTATGTAAAAATAAGTTATTACATTGCAAATAAAGAAGGCAATCATTAACCAATGTGGTCTTAGTATTAATTTCTATGAACTTATTGGATTTGCCTATTCTAGGGCAATTATGATTCGTATGTTCCTGAGGAACCTCAGTGATCTTTTCTCTGATTTTTCTGGGTTTTTTTTTGCATCAGACTTAGTTCAGCTATGTTTGGTTTTATAACCTTGAGCACAAGGGCGCCGGCAGCGGGGTGCAAGGGGGTGCACTTGCACCCCCCTGGCTTTTTTTTAAACAATTAAAGAGATACAGAAAAACAATTTTGCTATACAAGTTTTTTATTAAATTCATTAAATTAATTTCATTTAATAAAATATAAGTAATATTATATTTTCTATTAGTTATTTAGTTTAACGAAGGTGTATAACACAAACTGACTTCTCAAAACTGTAAATCTTCATCAACACAATGAATACCAATGTTAAGCGTACACAAACACGTTAGTATACTAAACTACTGTTTGTAGTCATTTGTGTTTCAAAGTCAGTAGCTATGTCAGCGCCATCAGTACAGTTTCTCGTGGCAAAATTTTCAAGTACAAGAAATTCGTACTTTTTAAATATCTTGTTAACAATGAAGAAATGTATTTTGAAAAAATTAACAGATGAAAGTATATGTAATAACAAAACAAAATGTAATAACAAAATATTTTTAATTTTTGTGTGTGTGTGTGTGTGGGGGGGGGGTAGTTTGTTAGAGGGTTGCACCCCCTTTTACATTATTCTGCCGGCGCCCTTGCTTGAGCATGTTATGTAATTTAGTTTACCTTGGTTTTGGTATTAAGTCCATTCTAATTCCAGGAACCAATATTAAAGTGAAAAAAAAAATAGTAATAGTTTTCATTATTTTCCATTATCATTTGTTATAATTTTTTAATCATATAATTTTGGTATTGGTAATCAAGTTTATTTTTTTCTTTCAAGGATTGGACCCTAATAATTATGATATGATCCAGAAGTATAATTATGTCCGATTTGTGGGATGCATGGGAAACATAACATTCAGTGAATCAGATAGTCCATTTTTCCCCGCAGAAGTTATTAAAGATAATCATCTACAACATGGGTGTCTTGATTCCTGTGCAAAAAAGAATCCCTGCTTATATAATGGCCGTTGCATAAACCATTATACTCATGCATCTTGTGATTGCTTTGGAACAAATCATGAAGACCAAATTTGTTTTAGCGCAGGTATGCATTCTCTTATTGTATCTGTTTTTGTGTTATATATATCTTTTATTTCATCTGTTTTTGTTCAATTAATCTTGATGTTAATTAAAATTTATTTCTATCTGTTTTATTTTCTAGCTGTTGTAATTCTTATGATCCCATTTTAAACACATTTCCAATATTTTTCCTTGCATTTGCTTTTGTTAGTAATAGTCTATATATTTGTTTAGATGTATCTTTTATTATATCTGTTTTTGTACCTTAAATCTTGATGTTGATTAAAATTGGTCTGTCTTATTTTTTAGTTGTTTCAAATATATTAAATACTATAGTATCATAATTTAATTCTCTACTTCTTTTAAAACTGTGGAAATTTCTGATAATATTACATTTCTTATAACCTTTTCTAAAAGCATGAAAGAAATCGTTTTAATTTTTGGTTTCAAGGTATTTTTGTTCTAAAATATCATGGGTAAACTTGACTAAAGATGTTATTAAATTTAATATACTGTGCCTTATTTTAAGTTAAAATTCTTTTAATTAGCATTAGTAATCATTTAAAGTATTTGCTATATATTATTATCAAATAGATTTTTTAATTTTTGTTTATAGATCCTGTGACTGTTACTTTTAAAGGTTATTCTTATATTACATATCGTTTATATGACTGGCGAGATAGAGTTCATTCTGAAGCTATGCGTATTAGCTTTCAATTTAAAGTAAGTAAGAATATACTTTGAAACTTTTAAATTTAAAAATAAAATCAAAATAGTGGAACCAACTTATAATGAACTTATATTTAATGAGATTCCCAAATTTATGAATAGAAATGAATGTTTTGTTTGGTATACACAATGTACTCTTTTAGCAAACAATTTTTTACCTTTTTGTTGAGTATCCCGATTATAAATAATTTTGGAAGAATGGAGTGCCATAAATCATAAAAAGTTATCAAATGCTTAAAATTATTAAAGATATTTTGGTACATAATTATTGTGAAACATGTTTTGATGTCTTTTAGAAATAGTAGAATTATCTTTCAAAACAAAAGAATATTCACTCAAATCTGAAATGCTATTTGCAAAATTTTTTTTCTCTGGATAAATGAATGATACTAAAAAGGCAACATGTGCTAGTTTAAATTCAACCAAAACTGAATTATTTATTCCAATTAAACAACTTAATTTTATCATTTAATAATGAAGTGTAAAATTTCAGTGATATATGTATTTTAATTTAATTTGGTACCTTTACCTAAGAGTGGTAATAGTTAAAAAAATTTTATGGTTCTTGTGTAATTTTATTAATATTACAATACCTTTATAGGATTAAGTTGTAAATACATCTTAAAATTTCTCTAATTTGAATTGCATAAACATTGTATTGTGCTTCATATTTATTGATATATAGTTTGGAAAATCGGCACCTCTGATAAAAATTAGTGTGTTTAAACTTTGAATTCAGTTCGATCCATTCCATTATTTTTTTGTGTATAATTATGTTACTAAAATATTTTTAGAAATGGTATCTTAAAAGAATCATTTTGTATAACGATTAGATTGTTTTTTATTTAAATTAGATCGCATATAAATCTTGATTATTTTTAGACGTTTTTTGAAGATTCTGTTCTTCTATATGCATCTGGTGATCATCCTACCAAAAACTATGTGGCATTAAGTCTTTTTGGCGGTCAACTTCATTTTGAAATAAATTTTGGAGATGGTCCTTTAAACTCAACTATCGGATATTCCTTAAATGATGAAGCGTGAGTTGATCTTACTTAATATTTCAGTTAACTATTGTTTATTTTTTTTCCATGAACAAAAAAAAAAAAAATTGTATTATGTACTAAAATTTTTTGAATGTTTAAATAAAAATGTACCATAAATGCAATAAGCAATTGAGTGATAGATGTTTGCAGATTGCAAATGTTCATTTGTTAGTGAATTTGAGAACAAATTTTTCAATAAATGAATTTAAGAATGCATGTCATTAATTTTAGTTTTCTCACTTACCTCCTCTCCCTTTTAATTGTTCGGCTGTAGTTAATTCTTGCCATTTTTAAATAATTTTTCCTTTTAAAAAAAGTAGAGATACTTCTCTAGGCTTCAGCTAAGTTGAAGATAGCACTTTTCTCATGTTAGACTAGTACCAAAACTTTATACCGTTTTAAACTTTATAAGTTTTTATTTCTTAATTATTACAATTTTGGAATAAAAACTTTTAAATGTAATTGATTGATCCCTGAATTGTAATGATGGATGAAACAAATATAGGAATGTTTTTAAGCTTCATTGGAAGTGGTGTCCTATGATTAAGATTCTACTGAAGTTTAAATTTTCTATGATGCCAGCTACTTAACATTAAATGTTGATTATATATATATATAAAATTATAATTATTAAATGTTAAAAATTACGTTATGAATTGAAATAAAACTTTAAATTTGCTTTGTGGACTCTTTTTATATTTAAACATTCCTCACATAAGTAAACTTATAATTTTTATCCATCTAACAAATTTTAATAATTTTAAATTTAAAATATGTTTTTAAAATTGTGTCATTGTTATAATGCGAATCTAAATTCAAATCATATTTATAATTTTATTAAATGAATTATAAGTTTTTATTATAAAATCAAAATTAAGATAATTTATTGCTAAAAATGTAAGTAATTCTTTTTAAATCAAAATTATTTTGTGAGAAAAAGAGTAACTTTTTTTTATTTAGCAATTCATATTGCTCAGGAATGAGATTCTTCCGCGGATTCGCGGATTTCCGCTTTTTTTCAGATTTTTCCATTTTTCCCGCTAATTTCCGCTGAAATTTTTTTTTTGCCCAAGTTAAAATGTTTTATGAGGAATTTAATTTTCCACGAAGGGAATTGTTGAAGTCCCTTTTCCTCCCTCTGAAGTTTCTCTAAAAATCATTTCCTTGGGATAAAACTGGTTGACCTTTATACAGGGATGAGATTTTTTTTGTCTCTCGAATTTCNTTTTTTAAAAGTTTTTGTGCATTTTTATTACAGTGTCAAGGGTTTTTGAATAATGTTTTATTAAGGAAATGGTATTTATTTAAAGAGTATCTACCTAATATAGTTTTGTGTTGCTAAATCTGTGTTTAATTATTTTATTTCCATTTAATATTTTTAAACAATTATTGCTCTATTAGTGTGTAAAATTTCTTGCATTCTTATATTTAATAAATTTTTTACTTAAAATTCCTTAGAAGTGCCAAATGTTGCATACCATGCACCTTTTTTTACCCCTCCTGAAATCTCCTGAATTCTTGTTAGGGAAACTCCTGAATGTTAATTTTGCTAGGTTGGCACGTCTGTATATTGGTCAAAGGGTTGGACACTAATATGTGTTGATAAGGCCCTCATTTAAACTCCTTTTTGCTCTCAGTTCAGTAAAAAAAGGCCAGCAAACAAATTACTCAAATTTAACTATGGCGAGCAGTAAACATAAAACGTTCTCCTTTGATCGGACAAATTTAAAATAGATGCAATCAAGCTGATATTTGCTGGGAATATAAACTATCCAAATCTACAGTTTGTAACATATGGAAAAATAGGCAATTAACCTGCTCATGAAAAAAATTTAGATGACAGAAAAAAGTTGAGAAAAGCAGATCATAAAGATGTTGAAGAAGCATTGCTGAAATAGTTCAGCATTCAAAGAAGCCGCAATCTTCCAGTATTTGAACAAATTTCGATGAATTTGCTAAGCGAATTTATGAGACTACTTTTATATGCTCGAGTGGAAGGTTAGACAGGTTTAAAAAGCGGAGTAACAGAAATTCAAGAAAAATTATATTAGAGTCGGGAAGATCTGATGTTGAAGATTGCTCATCAGCTAAAGATTACTAATTCTATTTGTACGCAAAACGAAGAGTTATAAAAAATAACAAATTTTTTGCTACTACATAATATTTTTCAGTTATTTATTTGAATAATGTGTAATAAAAGGGAGGAGTTTGGGAACCATTAGTTAAATTGCCTCCGTAACGAATATAGTGAACTCCCAGTTATAGTGAACCAAAATTTCGGTCCCTTGAAGGTTCACTATAGCGGGGTTTGACTGTAATAACAATTTTGGAATAAAAACTTAAATGTAATTAATTGATCCCTGAATTGTAATGATGATGAAGCAAATATAGGAATGTTTTTAAGCTTCATTGGAAGTGGTGTCATATGATTAAGACTCTACTGAAGTTTAAATTTTCCACGATGCCAGCTACTTAACATTAAATCTTGAATATGTATAAAAAAAAAATTATAATTATTAAATGTTAAAAATGACGATATGAATTGAAATAAAACTTTAAATTTGCTTTGTAGACTTTTTTTATATTTAAACATTCTTCACATAAGTAAACTTATAATTTTTATCTATCTAACAAATTTTAATAATTTTAAATTTAAAATATGTTTTTAAAATTGTGCCATTGTTATAATGCGAATCTAAATTCAAATCATATTTATAATTTTATTAAAAGAATTATAAGTTTTTTTTATAAAATCAAAATTAGGATAATTTATTGCTAAAAATGTAAGTAATTTTTTTTTAAATCGAAATTATTTTGTGAGAAAAACTTTTTTTTATTTAGCAATTCATATTGCTACATCTACTTCAATGAGTTTATCAATAAGTACTCTAATATATTTTTTCAATAGATTTAACATTTTTATTTGCCTTTTAAGTTTTTGTAATCAGTACCTAAACACTATTAGGTTTAAAAATCAAAGTATATAATATATAAAATATATTAAATATATATATAATATATTAAATTATATAATATAATAAAAATTACTTTATTACATTTTGCGATTTCTGAAAAATTAGAAGGCTATTTTTAAGATATTTATGAATGAGAAAGGAAAGGTAGGTTTAGTTTATTCAGAGAAAATTGCTTTTAAATCATTACAACTTGGTTATGAAGTTTCAAAGATACCAGCCAAATTAAAATTTTGCTCATTAATATTTTATATTTATAGAAAATATCCAAACAATTTTGCATGCTAATAGATGTAGTATGAAGTTTTATGTGTCCAAAGTCATAAAAGGAAGAAGTTAAATAATTGAAGCAAATTTATTACAATAATAGTATTAAATCAAAATTAAATTGTCTTATAGTTTCAATATTTTCAAAAGTAACGGTTTAGTAAGTAAAAAGCAAGCAACTTAGCATAAATCGAAGAAATTGAGGGAATTTCATGGAGGTATAATGATTTAAGAATAGGCTTTCATGTCTAACTAAACATTTTAAATGCTAAAATCTTCCCACCTGGTTTAAATATTCAATCGCTAATGGCAAGTGAAAAATTTACTCCCCGATTTAAACAGATTACTTTCATTTACTAATATGAACATTTTATTTCATTGAAAAATGTGTTCAGTTATTATAATCAAAGTAATGCATTATCAATCTTTAATTGATTTCTTTTTTCAAATTAAGATATTTTTCTGATTAATTTATTTAGTTCATAATGAATTAAAAATCATTTGATCTTGTGAGATAATAATTTTCATTAAGCATATTGAAATGTACACCTGCTAATAGATAAGCTTCATGTTATGAATTTTCTATCATTAATTAAAAATATATGATTTATTTACATATCTTGTAATTTTTTATTCATTTGTTGTGTTTACTGTATCAGATGGCATACTTTGACTATATTGCATCATGGAATGAATGTTAATCTTCAATTGGATTCTCGCTGGAAAACCTCTCTTAAAACGTCACCTTCTCATCATCATCTCCATCTGGATCCCGAGATTTACATAGGTTCTGCTCCAAAAGATACCAAAGGTGTAAGATTAATTTTAAATAGTAATAAAAACTTGTCATATATCCCGTTGTAGTAGTTTACTCCCTATTTTTGATTACGAGATAGCAGATGTCTGGTATGTTGAGTATTTACGTTGACTGTTGAAAAACCAATAATAGAACTTTCTAAAATTAAAAAATATGTAAAAAGAATTTATTAAGTTTATAAAATTGTCTTAAGTTAAAAATTTTCAATTTCCCATCAACAACTCTTACAAAAATAGGAAAATTCCACGCTGCTGTTATAGACGTTATATGTTAAATGTTACTAAATGTGTGGGGGATTCAAGTGTTACTGTAAAATCATTTAAAAGTTTGGAATTTCGAATTCTTTGAATGAGGGTGATTTTTTGTGGAACAGATTAGGATGATGTGGATCCCATAAGACGACACTGCTAATCTATATTGAATCCAAAACAGATGTTATTCTGGAAGCTTTTAATTTGTACCTTTATGGTATGTTTAAAAAGTTTCATTGTGTTATGTTTTTTGAAATACTTAAGAATAATATTAAGTTTTTTTGTTTTAATTTTTTTCTGAGCGTAATTTAGATTGTTTTAGAAAAAAACCTTATGTGTAAAAGAAATATGATGAGAAAATAAATAGTAATTTGAATATATTAAAAATAGTTTTGTAAATTGAGGAAGAGTTATTCATATTGTATCTCAATGTTTATAATGCATCAATATTTCGCCATCAATGAGTGGCCCACTTTATTTCCAGCGTATTAGTAGTGGACCCCCTGATTTCATATACTTTTAGGAGCATGAAATGTCAACTTATGCACTGCAATTTACTGTGTTTTTAAATAAAATTACTGAAAAAAATATCATGGCTAAATTTTTCTAATATTTAAATCATTTGAGGATTTCTTTCCTTCCTTTTGCACATAAGCCATAAAAAATATAACTTTTTTAATTCTGTTCCTATTACTTTTATTTTAATTTCATAAAACAATTTAATTTATCATTTTGATTTCCATTTTCTCGCCTTATTTTTGTTTCATGGGATATTTATTACAGGGTGCATAGCGTTTTTACAAAGTGCTTAAAGGTGCTTATTTTCGATTTTTTGTTTCTTAAAAGCCCTTAAAGGTACTTCTTCATTGGGTGTTTTTAAAAAGTGCTTAATTTTCCCTTTTTCAAAATGTGATTTTTCCCTTACTATGTTGATTTTTGCTTCGAATTATGCAAAAAGACACAGTTCAAATTGTTCTATTCAAAGTTTTTGTAATTAATTCAACCCCAATCTATTTCGGCGTATTGTTAGTCCATAGCGTATGAAAACGCCATCCGTTTAACATTGTTCGAAATTTCATAATTTTTGACAATTGTCAAAAACAATGCCAAAAGTTTTGTTTTTTTGACATGACAGTTAAAACTGTCAATTGTCAAAAACTTTCCAACCCTGCCTAATTATGATATTTTTTTAAAGTGCTTAAAAATATTTTTTTAGTGTTAAAAGATGCTTATTTTTTGTTGAATAATTTGGCTACGCACCCTGTAGTATGTTTAAAATATACTCTTGTCAAGTTTCTCTTAAATTTTGAAGTATATATTGCTGGTTTGTATATTAATTGAGCTAACGATATTTTAAAATTAAAATAAAGTGTACTTTTGTTGTGCTATTTCCAAGAAAATTGTGACATTAACTTTTTTTCAGTTTTAAGTACAATCGCCCATCTAATTTTTGCCTGCCATTTCTTTTAAATTCAAACTAGTATTGAAATATTGTTTAAATTAATAATCCTAATAAACTGAAACACTAAGACATATATTTGATAATATAAAAACTTCATTTGCTTTTAAAAATTTTGACAATAGTAAAAGCCAACATTTTTTTAGCACTCAGTAAGTGTTCTTCCTCAAGACTTGCAAGAAGAATAAGATAAGAAAAGGAGCAGTGGTGGGAAAAACTACATTATTTTTTTAGTTTATTACAACTTCTTTGTTACAAATGTAGTTAACTACAACTACTTTTTTTAAATCTAGTGACTACAAATTACTTTACAATAGTAGTAACTGCTTTACTACTTTAAGGAGACAAGCTTTGCCTAAGAACTTAATTTACACCTATGTTCAAAATGGTTTTGAATAAAAAAAAATTGACTTACATTAAATGTAAAGGAATAATGAAATATTTATTCATGTTTTCATGAGCCAGTTTGTTATTCCAAAATATTTTTTTCCAATTTGTTCATTTAAACTTTTTATGCCTTTTTGACAAAGAATATTTAATCCAAGAAATGCGAAATCATCAAATACTAGCAGTTTTGTTAAGTGTTAAATGAGTTTTTATGTCCTCTAAGAAATTAGGTTTATCGAATTTCATGAGCATCTTTCATGTGCATCTTTCTTTCTTAAAGAACGCATAATGGAATGATAATAAAAGTATAATAAGTAAATAAAAATGTCGGGGTAGGGTTCGAATTTCGAAGCCGTCTAACTCCCTTTAATATTAAGTTATAATTTTCAATCATTCATGGAGCTGGCATCAAAAAAGAAAAAAGAAGACCTCGCTTCCTGGCTCGTACCCCCCAAACATCACTGGTACCAGAGCACCAGTCCAGGAGGTGCACTCAACATTCGGTGCAACTGCAAGGACCAGACTGCACTTACCAGGCTTATCAGCGGCCACCTTAAGTCCCTTTCTTTTGAGGGTAGTATTAAAATCTACCCTAACTGCCCCAGGTGCCACAACATGCAGGCTTCCCCCCAACATATACTGGACTGTCTAGGTCTGGACAAAAGGGACATTCTTAATAACACACTTATGGTGGCCGACTTCCTCCGGGTGATGAATTTCATGGACATAGTTTAGCCCTGCTAATTTTGGGGATAAGGAAGAAGAAGAAGAAGGTTTATCGAAAATACGTTCCTTTCCTTTGAAATAGCCTCAATGTTTCATGAGTATGCATTCGCATGTGAGAGTGTGAGCAAAGTGCTTGACTATTTATTTTTCAGAAATGCTTGTTTAAATATTGGTTATTCTAAAAATTAGTTGCGTTAAAACTGTGTTTTTTTTTTTAATTTTTAAAACTAATGTTAAAAGTAGTTGCCAGGAATCGCTGCAAACTGCTGTTTTTTTGTATGGTACTGTTCACTGCTCTACATTTTTAAAACATAGCACACTATAGTACAAACTACGAAAAGAAGTAAAGACTACAATAGTTTCACTATTGTAGACAATTGTAGACAACAAAATATTGTTTTCTGATAGACATTTATGTTCTTTAAGCTCCTATTTTCTTAATGAATAATTTTATTGCAGGTTTGAAATCAACTGAAAAATTCATCGGATGTCTACGGAGTATCTATTTTAATGATAAGAATGTTCTGTATGCTTTGCATAGCGGAGATAGTACGGCACGTTATAACAGTATATTTGCTGTTGAGTATGGTTGTGAATCCACTAATGTGATACCTGTTACATTCCCTCTGCCTGAATCCAAATTAGTGCTGGTCATGCCAAATAATCAGAAATTAGAACTTTCATTAGAATTCAAAACTTTACAAAGTGACTGTGTCCTGGCTTCAGGTGAAATTAAAACAGAAATTGGCATTGGTGTCTGGGAGGTAAGATGTAAGTTTCTTAGGTGAATTGCTTTTTTGTTTCTTTCATGTATACAGCATGCCTTTTAGATTTTGATTTTTAATTGTTGCAAGTAAAAAAAAAGACCATTTAAGATTTAAGTACTTATCTACAGATTTAATGTTAGTAAGAGTAGTATGCGTAAGACAGACAGTCAATTTGTGATATGTAAAACGGATAGTTATTATTTTTAAATTTCATGGAATCTGTGTTTGATGACACGTTTCTTTAAAAATAAAATCAGTATTGTTTGACATTTGATTGGAAGAGTAAAAAAGAAGTTTTTTTTCTCAAATTTTTCTTTAAAAGTCAGTAGCAGGATAAGTTTTTGTTTCTACTTAAATCATAAGTAGAAACAAAAACTTATCCTGCTACATTGGAAAAAAAAGAGTCTTAAATGATTTTAAATTAGTTTTACTCAAGCAGCTTAAAAGTAGGAATGATTGTTTTCATTTTTTGAATTTCTCACTTTTAAATCTTAATTGATAATTATCATAAATAACTAATTATTTCAGATTTTTTTTTCATTCATTATTACTTAAAATTATATTTCAGAGATCTTATTATTTTGTTTGAATACAACAAAAAATGTATTTTTTTCTTCTGCTTTTTGGAAACCAGATGGGATATGTTCTACATGTTTGTTAAAACTCAGTTGAGAAAAGACAATTAAAAAAATCTGTCTTGAAAGACACCAGACAACATATTTACCTCTTAACTTACACAAAATTATTCCCTTTCCGTAATACTGGTGTCTGAATGCTAGATTCACTTAAAATTAATAATACATTATTGTCTCTTACTATTATTTTAATATTGCGAACTTTTGAATGATACTTAATTGCACATTTTTAATAAAATATAGTAATTTTACTCTTGGTACTTATTCCATTTAAATGTTAAAATATATATTGCTAAATGATTATAATTGTCTCCCTCTTTATCTTTTTACATTAAAAGTATTAGGACGTGTGATTCATAGTCAGTTTAGTGTGTGTTTTGTTCACAATTGAGCAACCAAAATCTAATTTTAATTCATTTAAAAAAAACTTTAATTGAATACGTGTTTATAAAATAATGAAATTTAAAGATGGTGCAATCCTCCAATTTCATAATTAAACGAAAGTTTCTTTGCATTTTAAATTTTTTTAGAGACTGTCGCATTAAACCCTATATTCAATTTCTTTCAAAGTCTCATTTTCATTTCTTCCGACGGCACGCTATTTTTATATTAGTTATTTGATATTATTTAGTTGATATTTTTATATAAGTTATTTGATACAAAAAAACACTACTAATATTTTAGTGTTATCAATTCTATTTTTTTTCCGAAGAAATGACTAGAGCAAATTATAAAGGATGTACCAGAAAAATATTTTAGTTTTAAATAATTGTATTTTATCAAAAATAGGTTGATTTTAATTATTATGTTTGCATGTGTTTTGCTTGTTAATTTTTATTAATTGACATTAATCTTTAATTATCAGCTATTATTACACCAAGGAACAGCATTGTTTGTTATCAGTGAATCTCCAAAGGAGGATCCTAATATGTCTTGGACATTAAATGATAAGATTTCTGGAAAAAATCTTGCTGATGATGACTGGCATCACGTTGGTGTTGTTTACGATGCTGGGTGAGACATTTTATTTTTTAGAAGGTCTCGAATTTTCTTTAAATAAGTTAGTTATTTCTTTGTTTTAAATACAACTGTCGTTGTGTTAATATTTTTTTTATTTTATTTTCCATTTCTAGAGAAGTTAAATTGGCAGTAGATTACCACCATAGTTCAAAAGGTGTTTTTACTCATCCATTAGAATTTATGGGTCAAATGATTTTAACCACAAGTGTACAAGATGCCGAGAGAGGTCTGTGTTTTATTTTATTATCATTTAATTCACTTAATATGAGAGGAAAATATTTTGATTTATAATACTTTGATTATGTTTCGTTTTTATGCTTTTTTTTACTGCAAAATAAATAGACTTGCTCTTAATGAAATATGTAATTTAATTATTCAGTTAGTTTCTTCCCTATTGTATAAAAGGGATCTATTTTTTAAAAAAAATTTTTTTTTGTTGAGATTTTAAAGTTTTTTTATAAAGAGACTTTGAAAAAGTTTTGCTGCTCAGAGGTTATATTTTCTAAATTTGCAAATTAGAACTGCATAATATATGAATGCAATACTGATAGAGTCTTCATGTTTGTAATTCATGTCTATTTTTCTAAATTCTTGCGTTTTTTCATGGATATAGTAAAATGCAGTTGGCAGTTTTAAATTTTGACCACTTTTTGATAAATTTTAATTATACCTATGAGAGAAATACAATTTTGGCACATTTTATTGAAAGGAAAGATGTTGCATTATTTCTAATCAATAAAAGAATTATAAAATATCTGCATCAGTTTTTTTTTTATTGCAAAAAATGTTAGTTTTCTTTACAATTTTTGTATTATCTTACTATTAAGATAGCTATAACTTTTTGCATGAGAATTGTCATATTAGTCATGGATGGTTGGCCATGTGTAAACACTAAAACTGTAAGAAATTTTTTAAAAATCTGGCAAATCCCTTTGCTGGTGCTGTGATTACAAGGCAATATATGTTACGGGTGTCAATAGGCCTGATGTTCCCAAAAATTTTATTTTTGAGATTGGAATTCAAGTTTACTCTCGATATTGCAATTCATATTATTTTTAGAAGTTTTATATTTTAATCAGACTGTTAATTATGAATTCAACTGAAAAAAAAATCAAATTTAATCATAGAGATGCTATCTTTTGGGTATTTTTACCCAATTTGGCTAGTTTTTTTTGTTTAAACATCCAATTATTTCTTTATGAGATTATTTTGTTCTTTAGTGCATATTCTAAATATTGAAAAAGTCAGGAAAACATTAGTCTATAAAGAAATAACCTCCTAAAAAAATACCACTCTTCAAAACTTTCAGATTGAGTAAGCTATGACCTTTTGACTGAAAATAAATCTGATATACTAGCCCGGTAGCCTTGTTACTCTTTTCGCCACTAATGCCACTTGTGTTTAGTTTAGTATGGTTAACTAGTTTAGTAATGTATTAGTATAGTAACCAAATGCCTAGTTTTAAAGGATTTGTTAACTTTTTGATCATGAAGACTGTAGGTAAATTTGTGCAAAACTTACCCTTCATTAAATCTTACTTTAAAAAAAGAGAAATGTTTCAGACAAGAATTGATGCATTTAAAGATATAAATTTTCATATTAAATCCACTTTAGGGTTTATTGGGTGCATGAGAGATATATATGTTGCTGGTGATTGGATTGATCCGAGAACAGTTGTTGATACAAATCAAGTGTCTGGAAAGGTTTCGTTAGATAGTTGCCTTCTAGTTAACCTGTGCAATAATCCATATGCTTGTGAACATGGAGGTACATGCTATGTTGAAAAAGGAGAAACATATTGTGATTGTGAAAAAACTGGATATACTGGGCGGACATGTCATTTTTGTGAGTTTTATACTTAAACTTTGTTTTTAGTTATTTTTTTAGATTTATTCCCTTTTTGTTGTGTTTATCTTGTATTGATAAAATGTATATGTAATATTAATAATTGTTTTCTTTATTTTTTGTGTGCTTTCATTGAATATAAATGGCTAGTATAAGCAGGTAATCATTCTTTTTTTCAAAAATAATAAAAATAATTTTATTATTTTTATTTGGTAAATTCCTTTTATGTTAAATAAATGTTTTTAATCTGAGTAATATTTTTTTCAGAAAAAATAGTTTAGAAAAAAAAGGTTCTATTAAATAATAAATTTATAATAAATAAATTTATAATAAATAAATTTATAATAAATAAATTTATAATAAATAAATTATAATAAATTTATAATAAATAAATATTTGTTTGTATGATTTGATTGGAACATTTACTGAAAAGAGCAAAAACTTATTATTACCTTAACCTTACTTTCCTATGTGTTTACTCATTTTTAAGGTGTAGATTTATACTTAGTTAATGATTTGTATTTTTGAACGGATTTTTCTTTTCAGCATTGTATAAACGCACTTGTGAAGAATTATATCTTGTGGGATATCGAAAAAAAGGAGTGTACACCATTGACATTGATCGTAACGGCCCTCTTCCTTCAGCTCATGTATACTGTGATATGGGTAGTGATACTGGAGGTCAAATTATTACAAGGGTGGAAAACAATATGCCTCCAGAAATGGTGAACAACAATTATTTAACATTTCAATTATGTTACCTTCTCTTCTATATTTGTATTCATTTCATAAGTTCACTTATTAATGTTAGAATTAGCTCACCAGACAATCACCCTTATAAAAATCACAATAAGCATAATTTATTTAATACTGTGTAACTCTCATTTTTTTTATTATTGATTGTGTTTGTTCACTAAGGTAACCACAGAGAAATGTTTTAACATTCTGGATAACATTCCTTGAGTTAACATTTTCAAGATGAATATGTTGCTGATTACCCCAATTTTTTGCAATAAGATGACAGCAACTTTCATTGTGCTGAAAGAATATGTGATTGATTTTATAAATACTCACACATGCTACTACACCTGGATTGACCTACAAAATCTACTGTCTTGAATCCTATAGAAAAATCGATCAAACATGTAAGAATAGCATGTGAAATGCAAAAATGAGTGTCTCTGCAATTTTGGAGGATTTGGGTGATTTGATAGATCGTGCAAATTGTTGGTTTTGCACGATTTCTACATTGGCTTAAACTGGATGTGATGTGCCAACTTAAAGCTTGTGGGCTCTCTTCCTAGCTAAATTTTGAATCAGTGTTTTCAGACCAGAGATTAAAGTGCACAATATTAAATGATTTTTTTCGTGATTTCTCTAGGGGTGACTAATTTTTTTATCTGTTGAGCTTATTTAATAATGAAGTAACATTAATTAAAATTATATATCTGTTATCAAATTAAATAAATAAGTATAATATAATGTAAAGTATAATATATAATAAGTATAATATAATATAAAGTTTTTTTGAAAAAGGAATCTGCTACTAAATTATCAGAATGTAGAATACAAAATATCACTTAATAATTAAATTGCAATTGTTTATAAATGCAATAATTTTGCTTTTTTATTAAACAAAAAATTTTGTTGACTAGGCATTTGGATGTTTTATAGTTCATAATATTTTTTTATCCTTTTTAAAAATTTTTTATTCTAAAGGGAAAACTGTAAATCTAATTTATTTTACTTATTTAGGTTGTTAGGAAGAAAGGAATGAAATCGTTTACAGTAGAAGTTGCATATAGAGAGTTCACACCTGAAATGCTTCAGTCACTCGTTAGACATTCAAAGGTTTGCTCTCAGTACATGAAATACGAATGTTTCAAGACTCCTCTTGGGTAATTAATTTATCTTACGCTTTCTGTTTTAAATTTTTTTGTATGTTAAAGGCTTCTTTAATCAATATTTTGAAATACCATTTATTTATTTATTTTCTGAAATCTAATCTAACCATGATTTAGCTATTACCTTAACATAATCAAAATAGTTAACAAAAATTATTTATCAATCGGAGAGACATTAAAAGGAAAATATATGAATTAAATCTAAAAATGTTTATTAACTGAATTTTGTAGTTTTATCCCTTAAGTTAATGCTGAGCAATACATTTCAATTATACAACAATCTGTTCATAAATGAAGTAGATAACTTTAATCTTTAAATATTTTTATTAATTAAATTTTAATGATAAAAGACGAAGAATAAGAAGGAGGGAATTTTTTTTAAATAATTATTGTAAAGGCATCGTTAATTTCTTAAAACTACGTTTATGAAAGTACAATTTTATGGGTGATTTTGTGAAGGTACCTCTAAACAGTGATAAATTTGCACTGGACAGACTCATTATTTTATTGATGTCTGTTATTTAAAAATGATTCTGAAAAGTTTTCATTTCTCTTAAAACAGGCTTCGGACATATACGTGGATGGAGTCATCTGGCAGTAAGAGATATATTACTAGTATTGGCAGTCAGTCTGAGGGCTGCAAATGTGCAGAAAATCATAGTTGTGCTAATTCTTCTTTTTTGTGTAATTGTGATATTGCTGATGCTCGCTGGAGAGTTGATGATGGGGATTATACTAGTCCAACACATTTAGGAATCACTAAAATCTATATATTACAGCCAGATAATTTGGATGCTTCGGCTGAAGGCCGTCTTACTCTTGGTCCATTGGAATGTGTGGAAACAGGTGGGTAAATTAAAGAAAAAAGCATCATTACAGAATGTATTTTTCATTGAAACTTTATATGTAATTAAAAATAGTCTATTGTTCAATGAATTCACTACTAACTTGTACATATAATTTTTTTTAATTGTTGTTAAAAGTCAATTAAAAAATATAAAACAATAAAAAAATTTTTTTTTATTCTTCTCTAAGTATAAGAATGTAAGTTTTTCTTTCATTTCTTACCAAGCTTCTTACAAACCAAACATTAATAGTAGTTTTTTTTCTCTAATTTATATCTGTTTGTTATATTAATTTTCAACTATATGCTATGCTGAGTTCTGTTACTTTTAAGAATGCACTTTTGTGTTTTTAGTCAATTAAAAAATATAGACACAATAAAAATTTTTTCTCATTTTTCTCTAAGTATAAGAATGTAAGTTTTTCTTTCATCTCTTTAACAAGCTTATTACTAAAATTTGAAACCAAACATTAATATTGGTTTTTTCCCCCTAGTTTATATCTGTTTGTTATATTAATGTTCAACTGTATGCTATGCTGAGTTCTGTTAAGTTTAAGAATGCACTTTTGTGTTTGTTTTCCCTTTTTTTTTGCAATGCATATTACAGTGGTACTGTTAGGATGGAAGCTATATCTTATAAAAAATTCATTGACTGGAAAAAATTGCGAGCTCTTGAGCTTCACTTTTTGCTTAGAGTTCACATGTTGCAAACTTTTAATCTTTTTTCTAATTCCATGTTTGATACAGGGGTTGCATTTCACCTCGAATTCCTAAAAATATGTGCAACCCCTAAAATTCCTAATAATAATAATAATTGGGTGCGAAATAAAAATAGTGGTGATACTACTCTTCTTAGCCAGCAAAATCAAATTTTGAAAGCAGAAACTGTATGGTGTTGACATGTAGCTGAGAAAAATATTTCTTTTAAATCTTGTAGTGATGCAGTCGATTTATTCAGAGTAATATTTCCAGATTCCTCCATAGCGTTGGCAATACAACTTAAAGAAAAGAAAACTGCTTATGTACTGAACCAGGGTATTTCAAAACAGTTTGAAATTCTTTTGATAAAGGATATTGATAAAGCAGCTAAAATAACATTAGCATTTGATGAAAGTGCTAATGTACAGAACAAGCAGTAACTAAATGTATATGCCAGATACTAGTTAAGTGAGTTTAATTTGGTAACACGTAAATACTATTTGAAAAGTGTATTTTTAGGTCATGCTACAGCTGACATTATTTTAAATGAACTTTTGGATGTTTTATCTATTCAATAACTTTAAGATGTTCTATCATTAAGATTCCATTAAATATAGTAATATGTCTTTCAATGGATAATCCAAATTTTAACAAAAGTATGATGAAAAAGTTTTCTGATGAAATAGATCAAAACAAAACACGTTATTGCCACTGTCACTTGATATTTGCATGCGACAAATAATGCGTTTAAAGTTTTTCTGAATGCATTAGAAATAAACTTTGATGAGTTCGCCAAAGATGTGTATTAATTTCTAAAGAACAGTGCTGTGAATAGGTAAGACTTTAAATAGGAAAATAACAGAAAAAGAGGAAATAACAGAAGAGACAGCATAGATTTTATTGAAGGGTTCTAATAGTAGATGGCTTACAGCAGCTAGTTGAGTAGTGGGCAAATACATTTTCAGAACATTTTTTATGCTTTCTGCCTTAACAAAAATTGTAAGATAAGTAGCTAAGTACTTCAAACAGATATAAACGTATCTGTGAGAATTTAAGAAAGCCAACAATTTTATCTTTTATCTCTTATATACATAAGCACTATGAAACCTTTTCTTTATGTTTCCAAAGCGAATGCCGAAGACACACCTGCTATTCAGCGAAATGAAGAAACTGATCAGACAAGTTATGATTCAATTTATAAAAGATCGTAATTCATAATGTTATTGTAAATTTTTGATGCCATGTTTATATGTATCCATTTTACTCTTCCATCTTCTTTAAAAATAAAATTTGGTTTGTTTTCAGATACTCAAGAGTATGTTATTACCTTCAAAACGTGGAATTCATTCATTGAGGTGCCTGGATGGCGTAGAGGAGATATTGCTTTCAGTTTTAGGACATCCAATAGTCAAGCTGTCTTAATATATCAATCTTCTATTCATCATAGTCATGGTTATTTGAGAGTACTTTTAATAAATGGTAATTATTAATTTCCTGCAATGCTCCCACTTATCAGAATAATCCTGGAATAGTCTGGAAGTTAGGGAATATTGCATTTATATTGCCAAAATTTTGAAAATCTGTGCTATAAACTTGGAAACATTCTGAAAATTTAAATTTATATGATTTTCATATTAAGTTCATATTTGATAACTTAGTTCACATTCAATAACTTAGGAACCATTTGATCAATTGCGCTCAAATTTTGTATTTTGCCATTTAAAAAATACATTGTTTAAAATCATGCCAAAATTCATATACCTTACAATTGACCTTTTTTCAAATATTATTTAATAAAAAAATAAATTATTTGTAAAAATAATTTTTTTAATGGAATTATCTTAGGATGAACTAATTTTATAACGACAAAGTTTTTTTTGGTTACTTTTGAAAGTTCTCGTGATATTGCAAAATATGAAAAAGTAAAATTAACATTAAGAGGTATAGGGCAAAATTAGGAAATTTTGCTAGTGGCTAGTTATAGAATATATGGCAGTGGCCACTTTTTCTAATATTGTTTTCAAAATTATTTAAATGATTTAATAAACTTAATGTATGGCATTTATTTTGAAGCATTTCTCAAATTAGGGTAAACATTACAAGGTTCATTTTTAAAAGAAAATTTTAAAATTTCTTTTAAAAATGAACCTTAGAGGAATAACGTATTTTTCAGAATATTATAAAACTATTAAAAATAATAAAATGCACAGGGTGTAAATGCCAAAAAATGTTTAGTAATTTTGTATCTAGTTATGTAACAATAATGTGTTTTTTAGTTGTTCATTGCAAAAACTACATTTATTTCTTTAATCTTTAACATTGTTTAAAAGGTGCAAATTCTACAATTCAATATGTTATTTATTTTTTCTGACATATTTTTGACTTAATAATATACATAGAAAGCAAAGTAAACTGTTATCCACAACCTAGTTATCGGTATTTTTGGATTTAAAGCTTTTGTACATATACATGTAAAACATGAACATTTTAAGCCAATATGTTCTAAAAAGAATTATGTATTTATATTTTAGATTATGAATTATCATTTGAGTTCACACTAAACAATCGTCCTCGCAGTGTGAGAGTTACTTCGAGAAGAAAACTGAATTCTGGGGAATGGCAGCAAGTTTGGGTGGATCACGATACTTATCATATGCGTTTTACTGTCAATTTAGATTCTGTCATGGTTGATTATGGTGAATCACATGGTGTAGGTCCTTTTGAAGGTCCACTCTATGTGGGAGGTGTCTTAGAGTAAGTATTAATATTTTGTTCTTTTAAATATAATACTAAATTTTGAATAATTTGGTTATAATTACAAAATTTTTAATTTGGTTATAATTACAGAAACAAGCTGTGTTACATTTTTAAATCTTATTTTAAGTACGAATTCTATTTTGATATTGAATTTAAAGCTGTATATTTATATCTATGTACTATATTCACATTTTGTTTTAGAGCTGTTTCTGGTGATTCTTCAATAAAAGAAGGATTTATTGGGTGCTTTAGAGGATTAGTAATTAATGATGTTGTAGTCGATCTGTATAAGCATATGACTAGAAGGTTAGTAAATGCATTTCATACTAACAATTACTAATTTCTTTCTAACACTTTATTATAACAATTTCATGCTAACAATTTAGATAACAATAAAGTTATCTACATCGACTAAGTTTTAGGAAAAAGTTTTTTTTAATTAGGTAATGTTTTAATTTTTTTTAGTAGTACAGCAAATGTAGACTAAAAGTTTAATATATAAATGTTTTAAAATAACTGGAAAAATACTTTTTATTAGAAAAAAAGAAATTATAGTGTTTTGTATGTTAAAAATAATATGTGCACAAAATACACAATATACTGTCATAAACCCACAAATTTTAATTTAAAACAAAATATGATGCATTAGGAAAAAAAAAGTTTTTATCGGTAAATTTTTTTTTTCTTTCTGGTCAGTTTCCCTTTCTTTCACCTTACATTGAGCTTATAATTAGACTTGAGTGATGAAAAAAATCTTATGTCTTTCTCTAGAATGTTAGAGAATAAGCATTTGCTACAAATTTTGTGTCAGTTGAGGAAAATAAAAACCTTCATATATTTCTGAAGTTTTTTTCTTTCCAATTCTAATTTGAAGGTTTTATTCTAAAAGAAAAAGTTCTCTAATCTTCTAACACAGAGAAAAATTTTATTCTATGCATACCAAAGAGTTACTTTAAGGAAATTATTAAATTTTAGGTTCTAAGGTAAGGCTGTTTCTTCTATCAATATTTTGTAATTGTATATTTAATTTTGTTTTGCTTATTGTTTGCTTTTTTATTTTGTGCTGTTTTAAAAACCTATTTTATCTAGAAAAAAATTACTTCTTTTAGTGAATCGGCAATTGTTCATGGCTGTCAACCATCCTGTGCTTCTAGCCCTTGCCAAAATGGAGCTACTTGTGTTGAATATTGGGGGTCTTATATGTGTGATTGTGTTAATCCATTTGCCCATTCTGGAAAAAATTGTGAGACAAGTATGTATATGTTATTTTGATTTGATTACGCATGATAAGGTTTTATATAATGTTATTTTGTTGTTTTCTCCTCTATTATTACTAAACCTTGTACTGTTGTACAGACTTTATTGTTGCCTATTTGGCAACAGAAATAAGCTGGAGATGTAAGCAGGGATGAGATTTTTTTGCTTTTGTCTGTCGAATTTCAGCCTTTTTATCAAAAACTCCGATTCTCTTAAAGTTTTTTTTTTTTTAATAAATATTCAGCTTTTTCTGGAAATTCAGTCGTTGAAATAAAAAAACTATATTTCTGATTTTCAAAGATGAACAGAAAATTCAATCTGCGTAGCTGACAACCCTTTCGCATTTTTACTTATTTTAGCTATTTTTTCCGCTTATATGCTCAGAAAAGATTTTCCTTATTTTTGCCCGTCCAAAAGATGGCTCATATTTTCGTAATTCAGACGTTGCTGCTTCCTGTTTGCTGGCTCGAAAGCAAACGAAATAATAATTAAAAAAATAGCTGTGGATTTGCAGTGAAAATATTTATTTACTTTTTCAATTAATCTTGTAAATTTTTATTTATTATGGCTAAGCAAAAACAATACAAACTAGCCTTTTAGAAATCCCTAGCCCAGAATCTGCTAATATCTTGATTCTTATTCATGCGATTTTAATATCAAACATAGATTTTTGTGTTTACCTTACTTAAAAGTTGCGCATTGCGATTCTTATTCACGCGATTTAAATACCGTACATTGAGATTCTTATTTGCGAGATTTAAAAATCCGATATTGCTATTCATATTTACGTGTTTTTAAAATCACGATTTTATTATCAAACATCAATGTTCATATTTACCTGACTTAAAATTTGCTCGTTGCAATTCTTATTCACTTGATTTAAATATCGTACATTGCGATTCTTATTTAAGAGATTTAAAAATCTAATAGCGCGATTTGTATTTACTCTCTTTTAAAACCCTATGAAGCTATTCGTATTCACGAGAGTTTAAAATCCAATGTCGTGATTTGTTTATGCGGTTGTAATATCAAACATCGATTTTCGTATTTAAACTTGATTTAAAAATTAGACATTTGGACTTGTATTCACGCGATTTAAAAATTATGCATTGTGATTCATATTTACGCATCATGACTTGTATTTTTGCATTTTTGAAATCTTTATATAATATAAGAAGAAAGTAAAATGATAACAAATAGCCAATCACAGAAGACTTGCGGTTAGTAATGCACAAGACAGCCAATTAGAATTGAGAACGCATGTGTCTGAATAGGTAATAATTTTTAATAATGCTGCTTGCTAATGTTACGACTAAACTTACCAGCTAAAGCTGAGTGTCGATTTTTATTTTATTTTGATTATGTCTAATGATGGTGACACAGTTTTCCATTGTTGTGCGTGCATTTCTATTGGCCTAAAAATCATGAGGTAGGATCCAGTTTTTCCTCATTTATTTTAATATTGTTTCAGTTGTCATTAGCAGAAAATTAATAAAAGTTGTAAGGGTATTGTTTTCCTTTAAATATTTTTGTATTCCTAATTTAAAGTTATTTTCCAGTACTGCTATTATTAGGGAAAGAAAAAATCACTTCTGATCACAAAGAGATGTAAATGTTTATAATACATTGGACATGGGAAGTAGAGGCACAAGCGCGTAAGCAAATAGAATTCCTTTTAGTACATATATGTTAAGAGAATAATTTTAACTTTAGTAGAAAAACTGTTTTCTGCCAAGAAAAGACAACTATTGCGAAGCAATCATAGGGGTTGGTGAGCGGCAGCGAACAGGGGGCTTAGCCCCCTAGTATATATATATTCTTAGATTTCCCTTTTTTACTCTCTGACTACTCTCTCTGAGTAAGAACATTGTATTCCTGCAACAGCTCACTGTGGACCAGAGTGTCATGGAGTTTAAAGCTTCACAGTTTCATGATTAACAGGATGTAATAGGGTCAGCATTGCTCTCCAAACCAGCTGGTACCCATCTATCTGAAGCTGGGTGAGCTTTAACCCACCACTGGTGATTGAACCCCAATCCTTCACAACAACAGTTCAGTGCCTTAGGCACTGAGCTATCACAGCAAACTGGAGGTCTATTAATTTTAAAATAAGTCAGAAATGACTTGTACAAACATGATTGTGAGGTTAACTTAATTGTTTTAATAAACAGAAAGATGGCACACTATTTAAATAAATTCATATGTCTTAAATTAAAATAAATGTAGTTCATCTGTTTATTTATTTTTTAAACGTAATCATAATTAATAAATATTTTCTAAGAGCTTTTTCTAATTTAAATTATTTTACTCATTCATAAATAGTTATAAAACGTTAGCAATTATCACGAATAATTTCTGCTTAAATATAAACCAGGCACTATTTTTTTCTCTAGATTTTAAAACTAAATTTAATCTCTTTTTTTTTCTCTTTTCTATAGACATCAATATAAATGCTATGACTGTGGTTACACCTGGCTCATATTATCACCATAAAAATGAAGGAAATGAAACGAATCCTGTTTTGGAAAAAGATATTCTTCTAAACTTCCGGACATTCGAGAAAGAAGGAATTTTACTCTATGCTTTTGACCATTACAATAATTTTGTGCAACTCCATTTTGCTAATAAAAAAGTGTACTTTACTTTCAATTCAGATCAAACTGTGTATCAGTTGCATGCAGAGGCTCAGGGTTAGTAAAGTTATCTTATTTTATTGCTCATTCATTTAAAACAAATAATAATAGGTATATAAAATGGAGATATATAAAATAAAGTAAAAAAAAAGACAATATAAAATAGGTATATAAAATGGAGTAAAAGAGATTTAAATTAATTAAAACCTGAGCATGTTCCAGTGTCACATCAGTAGCGCATGGGTGGCAAAATAGAGATTATATAATTTGACAGATGTTATGTCACATTATGTAATTAAATTAAAATATGCAAGTTAAAGAGTAGCAGTATAAATTGGCAATACAAACTGAAATTAAAAAATTATACAGCAGAAAGATCACTAACAATAGAATGTTTTACTTTTTTTTTTTGTTGATGATGTGTAAACTCTCCCAGAAATCCAGATATGCACGAAACATGCTTACGATGGATAATATGTCGTATCAGAAGGGGTAAAAAAAAAATGCACTTTAGAGTCTAGCTATTACTGCACCCTTCCTGTGAGTCTTTGACAATGGCAAATTGTCTGTAAATAATTAATGTTTGGAGGTTCTGTATTTTATAGGGAGGGAGATGAAATATAATGCATCATTTCAGTTATAAAAATTGTGAGTTTTTAAGTTAGAAATTATTTATTTCCCTTTCTTTTTTTAAATCTCTTCTTTCATTAATGAAATTCTTGTATTTGATTTTGATTGATTTTATTTAGAAAATCAATCAAAAATGAAGAAATGAATTTTTAAAGAGTTATTTTTGATAGATATGTTAAATGGAATTACATTTTTTTAAATGTAAGCCTTAAGTTCATACGTGAAATTTTTCATGTTAGTGAAAGTGTAGGAAAAAGTTAAATATTGTTTAAACATTTGCTTTTAAGGCTTAGTTCAAATTTGTGTGGTTTGTTATATACTGATTAATATTTTATGGTCTAGTAAATTTAAGAAAATACTGCTGTGAAAAAAAAATTCTAGACATTTTAACATAAAAATCTAGAAAACCTCAGAAAGTCAGGGAAATTACAATCTAGATTTTTGACAGACACCTTAAAAAATAATCTATAACTCTTGTAATCATTCCCATTGTATTTTCATAATAAATTTTATAAATTTAATTTTATAGGACTTTCTAAAGGATTACCAGTACAAATAAAAGTTGAACGACAGTTGCAACGTACTACACTTTTTGTAAATGATAAAAATTCATCAGCTGATGTTGTTATTAAATTTGTAGGAAAATATTTTCGTATGCCCTGGCGACAAAATCAAGAATTAGGTTTGTATGTTTTGCATTTGACTTGTTTGATTCATAAAGTAATCTAATAATATTTATTGAAGGTATTTTTCATTTTAGAAACTGTTTTTCCACCAAGAGGAACATACCGAACAATAGACCACAACGAAATGTTTTTAGGTCATGTCGGTAGCGGAACCTCTACTAATTTTACAAAATCTGGTTTTGTTGGTTGCATTCAAGGATTTATGATAGGTGATAAACTCTTTGATTTGGAAGCAGCTGCTCTAACCGATAATGCCGATGCTAAAAATGGTATATTTATCTCTGCTCAAAATTTGTTTACTGTTTTAGTGATGTTTTAATTTAATTTCTTTTTATTACAATAATATTAATCTATCAATTCAATTATCTCATCAAGTCAATTTTGGAATTTTATTCAAAATTTGTTTTTAAATCAATATTTTGTATGTCTTTTTTACTATGTACTTGTTTGAGAATGTTTTAAAGTTTGTCTTCTTCGGGTATGTTTTTTTAAGTCATGAATTACAAATGTTTGAGAAGTTTTTTCCAGCTTTACGATATCAGAACACATTATTTCAATTATTTGTTGTTGTCCTTTCGTAGGTGATCCCTGTGTTTGGAATATATTTTACATGTATTAAAATTAATTTTGCAGTTGCCAATGTTTCCTTTTTTCAGAGACTTTTAAAAATAATTTGCATAAACTAATTTTGAGCCATTGCTTCTATTTTAGCTACATATGATTTTATATATGAGTTATTATCAAGAGAACAGGTCTTAATCTTCCTTTCCTCTATGATTTTTGTCGTGTTTGAAACACTATAGTAGCAGTTTTCAAATGGTATTCCACGGAACTCTAGGATTCCATGGAAGCGTCACAGGGATTCTGAGAGTTAGGACTTTCTTTTTTTACCAGTTATAATTTTCGAAACCCATGATTGAATTTATATCCGATTAATTACCCATTATTTATTGAATATTTTTTATGAAATTATTGAATTAAAATGCTTGCGAAGAAAGAAGAGCAAAATTAAAAAAATTCAAATTACAATATATTTAATGAATGATGAAAAGAACACATTTATCAAAAATTGCTTTAGTATTTTGCATGGAATAAAAATAATTGAATTCAAGAAAAAATCTCTCTCTAATAACCTCTCTCAATGTTTATTTTCGTTCCTTTTCGTTTTTATTTCAATGAAAATCAAATTTTAGTTCATGTATATTCAGTTTATACATACTCTAAAACCAAATTAAAAGACTAAATGATGCTCCACACCTCTAAATTTAACTATGTGACATAAAGCATCAATAAAACAATTCAATGAAAAATTTTATTTTATTAATTTATTAAATATTTTCAAAATAATTAATAAAATTTCAATCATTAATATTTTTATTTTTTTATTAAGTCTGTTAATTCCTCTAAAAGATGATAGATTATTTAGGGTTCCTTAGTCGAAAAAACTTAAGAACCACTGCACTATAGCAGATAAACAAGATAGCTGATTTGTTGGTTTAATCTACGTTTTAATCAAATAGTACAGGGTGCGTAGCTTTTTTCAAAAGTGCTTAAAGGTGCTTATTTTCGATTTTCGTTTTTTAAAAGTCCTTAAAGGTGCTTTTTTCCATGGGTGTTTTTAAAAAGTGCTTAATTTTCCCTTTTCCGAAATGTGATATTTTTCTTAATCATGTTGATTTTCGTCACAAATCATGCAAAAAGACATTGTCCTATTCAACATTTTTCACAATTAATTTAACCCCAATCTATTTTGGCATATCGCTGGTCTGAAGTGTGTGAAAGCACCATTTGTTTTACATGTTTGATTAAATACTTGCATGTCCGCACTTGCGTATACTCAGCTGGATTCAGTTGTAAGGCTCTCATGTAAGGCATTCAGTAGTAAGGCTCATTCAGTAGTTTTGACTCTCATGTGCAACCCTGCTGCAGTTTGCAAGAGATTCTCAATTTCAGACTTCATTTTCTGCCCTCTCTAATAGAATCGAAAAATCTCTCTAATTTTTGCTGATTACAAGGACCAACTAAACATTGTCAATTTTTTTTCTCCATTAGTGATGGAAAATTTCATTTCTCTTGTTAATTTCATCATTTGTGACGTACCATCATCTTCGTCACTGTAAATAAAACCGGATAAAACCATCAATTGTCAAAAACTTGCCAATCCTGTCTAATTATGATATTTTTCAAAGTACTTAAAAATATTTCTTGAGTGCTTAAAAGGTGCTTATTTTTTGTTGAAAAATTTGTCTACACACCCTGTAGTAGTAAACAAATAAGAAGTCATCAAGTCTGTCATAATGCGGAGCATTTGGAAACTTAAAATTTTCTTTTAGATAATAAGTTTTGATGTTTTTTCTGGCCATTATTTAATGCTTTTTGTGATTTTAAAATATTTTTAGGTGACTTAGCTCCTGGGTGTGCAATGCTATGTGATAGTCTGCCTTGTCACAATCATGGATTATGTATTGAACACTGGAAGGATAACACAACATCTTGCGACTGTTCTCTCACTTCTTACACTGGAGAAGCATGTCAGAAAGGTTATTTCCTGTTTAAGGTGCTCATCTGTGTTTAAAATAGGATATGATATTTACGACTACTATTTTACTCATTAGAATATTGACCTACAATCTGTATTTGTTCTCTAAAATGAAAAAAGCAACATTAGAAGTGTTAATATTCTTGTTGTAAATGTACACACTAGTTATATTTTTAATTTGTATTATTAAATCTTTAATCAAAATAATTACAGTTACATGTTAAAAGGTTTTCGATTTTTAATTGTAGCATTGTGGTTTTTATTAGACTCAGTTGCTCACCTTCATTTCTTAAATTCAAAGATAATTTACCGTCGAATGAAAGAAAAGGTCATAAATTTCTATTTTTACTTGTCTTCAGTTTTTTCACTACTTTAAGTTTGCATTTTTATCAAATTAACTTTATTTGCTTAGAATAAAAAAAATTATTTTTTATTTAAAAAAATTATGTTTCCATTTTCGAGACTGTTCTAAAAGAGCATGGTTAGCTCATGAAAAGAAGTTTGATATAAATTATGCTCTTTTATATTGTATCAGTGTGTGCTCGTTTTAAGCAATTGGTTGGTTGACAATGAAGTAGTTTTTATTTTTAAGCCCTATTCAGAAGTTTCTTTCAACAGGGTGCGTAGCGTTTGTAAAAAGTATTTAAAGGTGCTTTTGGGGGGATTTCGTTTTTAAAAGCTTTTAAAGGTGTTTTTTTCAGCTGGCATTTTTAAAAAGTGCTTTTTTTTTCCGAATAATTTTTTTTCTCCCTTCAGTGATATCTGGTGGATCCCATGCATTTCACGAAAAATGCTACGTAATCATTCACGCGGACTTCATGTCGTACCCACGTTATGACTTGCGCATGCGCGCGCACTTGAAACTGAAACCCGAGTGCTCTAATTCGGATAGAAAATATCAGATCCTTATGAAATTTTTTTCTTTTTAATTTATTTTAATTTTGTTCTTGTTTATTTTATTTTACTTCTAACACTTTTTTTGACGTAGGGGGTAAGGGTACTTTTCTTCTGAGTTCAGGGTCAGGTTGAAATCACTCGGTGATGTGAGAAAGTAGTGATTGTTTCGATTTACGCCCATTTATTTATTTATTTTTTTTAACGCTAAAACTGTTTAAAAAGTTTTTGTTTTTCAATAATATCATTGATTGAATATGAATTTTTTGAGTGCTTGAAAATTTTTGTAAAGTGCTTGAAAAGTTTTTAAAAAGTGCTTATTTTTGATTCAAAGATTTGGCTACGCACCCTGTTCAATAATCTCAAAAAGAAAAGCATTGAATATGTTTTATTTATTAATTAATATTCAGAAAGTATTTTAGTAAATACGCTTGTTAGAATCTTATAATTTTTTTAAAAAAAATTTCCAGTTGGTTTCATTTTTCTTTCGTTTAGAAAACTCTTGATTATTAATCTGTTTTACTTGATAGATAGATTTTTTGTTTTTTTTATTTATTTTTGCAAACTTTAAACTAGATAACTTGTTGATAGCATGTTCCCTCTTAGATGTATTTTCGTATTTAGTTAAATTCAAGATGTTAAAAGGCGTGATAATATAACATTTGATATGGTCAAGTTGAGCTTTTTGTTGATCAGAATGGGCCCATAGAATGACTCCATTTTATAAATTTAAATACATTTTTATTCAATATTCATTTGTTAACTTTAAAATGTAATTACCTGAGTTTATGCGAAGATAAGTGTTCGCTATTATAAAAATAGTCTTGATACAAGATATTTATTAAATGTTTTCATTAATTATGAAAAATTTCTTATTTACATGTTTAAGCGTTCTTTCATGCTCTAAGAAATCTGTTTTATTGTGTAATGTGACAACATAAAAAGGTATATTTATTACATAAGTTTAATTTTAGTCATTGCTATTTATAATTTTCAGTCTTAATTTCTTATTAAATGTTTTTTTTTTAATCTTATTTGTTTTTCCATCCTTTTAATTAAGTACCAAATGCAGTTAATCTCTCTAATCTTTGAGACCCTTGGGAAAATTGTGCAGAAATTTTCTTACTACACTCTATATTACTATTCAATGGCATGAAAGAACCAGTGTTTTGATGCTGAGAAACCTGCATCTGAAAGTCTGGAAAAAGCGGGGACTGGCACTCAAAGGGTTAAAATTGTAAAACTTCTTCCTACAGACAGCATGCTTTATTTAAAAAAAAAATTCAAATTGCTGTTATTTTTATTTTTTTCGCCATGAAACAATATTAGATTTACTTTGAAATAAATGCTTTAAGATAATTTCTTTAAATAATGCTTGTAAAAAAAAAGAAAAGGAAAAAAAACGAATAAGGTCTAGATAATATAAACACTACATGTAACTAAATCTAAATTCTCTATTTTATGTAGACTGCATTAATAGAAAAGTTATGCAATGAAAAAATGAAATGTTATAAACCCTGTGTTGGAGTTGTTTGGGAAGTATGTAACAGACTATAATTTTTATTTTTTAAATTTTCATTCATTTACCTGATTGAAAATATTTAGGGGTGCATCATATCAATCAGGCCTAAGAATATATAGTTTATTAATTATTCATTTAACGAAACTTAATTTTTTCTATTATCTCGTTGTTAGTTTAATTATGTATCATGTGATTTCTTTTAATGGTTAAATGTTGAATTAATATATTTTGTTTTAACTCTTTTCAATTGTGTATTATACATTTCTGATTTTAAAATGTCTTGTTTAGATATAGGAGGCAATTTTGATGGCTACACGTTGTTAACATATTCATTCCAAGGAGAGGAAATATCTGATGAAATGCGAGCAGATATGGCTGTGAGGCTTGCTTTTTCAACTGATGCTAAAGCTGCTTTTCAAGTTTTGTTGTTTATTCAACTTCAGGAAAGGTTAGAACTACTTTGAATTAAGTTCTGAACAGAATTCACATGATTTAAAAGTGTTTTAATTTTTTTTAATCATTGATTCAATTTGAAGATATTTTTATATGTTACTAAGCATATTATATTAAGATAGTGATATTTTTGATATCTCAAATAATTTATAATGAAAGCTTTGTCTGAATAGACTAATTGTAGTTAATATACTATAACTTATAAATTATAATTTCATATTAGTTGTATGAAAATTAATTTAAAGTTTAACTATCATTAAATAAATGTTTCTATTCTGCACATTTGGTGTTATGTTTATTTAAAAAAGGAACAAAGACTACTTAAGTAATTTTGAATAATTGTTTTTTTGTAATGTTTTCTGATCTAAATTTACTCTTTGTTCGATATCTAACTCATAAATTGGCTCTCTGGCTTTGCAATTATTAGTCAAATTTTTTATTTATTCATTGTTTAGTTTTTTAGTTAAAAAATAAATTTAGTTTAGTTAAAAATTCCTATTTATTCACTAAATATTTATCCAATGTTTAGTTTGTAGTAACTCAATTAACAAATTATTTTTAGTTAGTATTTTGTTTTAAATATTGTTGTTAAATATTGTCTTCATAAATATTATCAGAGTTTTGGTTCTTTATAATTTATGTAATGCAGTAAAAAAATGGTTTAAATCATTAAATTCTGAGGTGTACAAAAATCAAACTTTAATTGTAAATTATTTAAGACATTATAAAATTCTCATATAACATTAATGACAAAATTTTGTAGGAGATATATTTTATTTGGACTTGCTGAAGATAACGCCTTATTTGTCGAAGAAAGAATCACCACAAACAGTAAGACTTTATAAATAAATAGCTTTTTCTAAAGCTTATGCATAATAAGTTACGTTTCTATTTATTTTTCAGTATTAAAATTGTGGCATTTTTTTAAAAATTTTTCCTTCCCTTGATTTTTAGAATACATATTGTGTACCACTACCTCTATTCCCAAATATGTTTTATTGCATACTTCAAACCAGGAAATTTCGTTATTTACAGAGTTGTGTTGTAAAGGGAGTACCAAAGGCATTTGTTCAGAGCAACACATTTATTGAATTCTTAATTTAATTTTTTTCTTTTTAAATATTTTTTGTTTTAAAAATACAACATTTAAAAAAAAAAAATCATGTAAATTGAAATAGGAATTCGAAAAAATGGTGTGTGGCTTAGAAAATCAAATCTAGAGCTTTATCACTCATATAATGAATCTGACATTATTAACTTTATTAAACAAAAAAGAATAAAATGGTCAGGCCACATTATCAGAATGGCGAAGACCGTACCACAAAAAGAGTTGTTAATGCCAGACCAGTTGGCACACGAAAAAGAGGCATTCCGAATTTGAGATGAGTAGATGGCCTAGAGAAAGACCTTTTGGTCTTAAAAACTAAAACTTGGAAAACATTAGCAAAAAAAAAAGGTTAGCCTGGAAAAAACTTCTTGAGAAGACCAAGGCCCACCCTAGGCTGTCGAGCCATTGATGATGATGAAATAGATCTAATAAACTAAGTGCTAGGCATGGCACTTGGAGGCTTATTTCATAATTTTTGTCATAAAAATCAAAATCATAAAATTAGACCACAATTTATATTTAAATGTTTTTACATATTTCAGGGAGAAGTTATAAAACCAAAATTACTGTGGCTTGTGAATTAACGATAAAAAGGAAATGATAATTAAAAATAAAATCAAAAGCAATAACAATGTTATTAATAAAAAAATGTTTACATTGTTATTTCTTAAAAAAACAATCATATTCTTCATTTAATTAAATTAGACAAAATTCTAACAGGATTTTCTAACATTTTAATAAGGTCTTCACAAACTGTTTTGCATCGTTCTCCACAAATAGGTCTGATTTGCATATTAATAGCTTTAAAAGCATAGTATGCATATCCCTTTAATATTTGATGTTAACAATCAAGACATACAAATTAAGCGAAAAAAAAAGTTTTGAACTATTATTATTTTTTTGGGTCTTAAATACATAAAATTTATGCAAGATTTATGTCTGATATATAAATCTGTCTATCTGTATATATGTCTGATATAAAATATATCTATAAATCTGTTGCTTATTGCAATTGTGATAGCAAGTGTAAAATCAGTTGAAAGTTACACATTTTATTATTATTATTTTTTTTTTTACTTCAAATATTTTTCTTCATAATAAAAAATAATGATGTATGCTTATTGCAAGTAATTCATCAAATTAAATCTAGATTGGTGTGTTTTTCATGATTTTTTTCAAAACTGTTTTTAATAAGCCTGGTCACTTCTAAATCATAACGTTTTAAGTCTTATTAAGTGTCTGAAACTTTAAAAAAAAATTCCTTGAATATTGCCCCATTTTATAATTATTAATATTTTTTTAAACAAACTATTATTTATTTTAGTTTTTTCTTAGCTTGCCTGCATTAGTACAAGTATCGTTTATTATATTTTTAATTTTTCAGATTAAATAAAAACGCTTATATTTATTAAATATGCCTGTACATATTTTTTTTTTTAGTTATTAGAAGAAAAGCAATGACTAGTAACACTTGGTCTGACAATAATAGACATTGGTTTTACTTTTCATGGAAAGCTGGAATAGTCAATTTAATTGTAAGTCTATGCATTATGCAGATTTATTATCCAGTTATTAAATTTGATCTGTAATTATTATTTGATAAGTATGTGATAAAACCTTAATATCTCTTTGCATATAATTTGCTGTGCTTTCTTTTAGTTTGTTTAATTATTGTCTTGACTAATTATTTTTGAAATGCTATTTGGAGTGAATTTTATGAATGTTATTTTTTTTATAGAAAGAACTCTTATGTTCTAGGTTCAACGATTGATTCCAACACTAAGCTGTTGCCATTCTTTTGGCACTAAGACTGATTTCTTCACGCTTTGCACGGAGATATTGTATTTACTCCGATGATAGTATAAGCGTTTTGCACCAGTTAGATAATTTTAACAGTAATAATCATCCAATTTTCTGTATTATTATTCATCTGTTGATCACTCTTCATAAAAATGGGTTTCATGTGTTGTTCTGTTGGGATTCCGAGTCACGTTGGCATACCCGGAAACGACCTAGCTGACTCTGCTGCTCGATCTGCCAATGCTCTCCTGTCATTATCTGTACCTTTCTCGGGTGTTAAGCTGCATTTTCGACGATTTATTACATCTTTATGGCAACAAAGGTGGGACCTCCAAACTTTGAATAAACTACATAATATTAAAACAGACTTGAACCAGTTGCCTGTGCTGCACTTGCATAGTGCAAACGTTAAACTTACTCGTCTGCGAATAGGTCACACCCGGTGAACACGCCTTCATTTGCTATTTGGAGAACCTTCTCCTCAATGTCATACTTGTAATGTTCCGCTCACGATTCACCACATTTTAATATTTTGCCCATGTTTTAACCGACAACGTTTTACCTTATTCGGGAGTTCTATTTTATGTATACAGGATTTATTGAATGACATTCATCATCCTAATATTTTTGCATTTCTATGTGCCGTTGGTATTTTTTAACAATATTTGAATGTTTTTAAAAGCATCTACAATTTTATTCAGTATGCAAACATCGTATCACCTTCGTATCATTTTACTCATTGTATTTTATATTGTATTTATGCCTCTTTTATCTCAGATTTTATAAACTTGTACCATTTTATCAATAAAAATTGTACAATGAAATTGCTGTATGCACTTTTACCTTAGCCTTTAAACTGCTATACTGTATTGTTTGGCTCAGCATGTCCTTATTTGGACTTTGTACCATTAAACCCTACATTCAATCAATCAATCTTATGTTCTAGGTAGATGGAAAAACCTATAATCCTTTCATTCAGGTGATAGAAACATCTTCTGAAACTTATGAAGGGATTCCAAATCTTTTGTATGTTGCTGGCTTACCTAAAGAAATGAATAAAAGAGAATACGGAAGCTTCAAAGGATGTATTTCTAGTAAGAATCTTATTTTTGTTTATAATATTAGAACATTATAACTTTTTATTTGTTATATCTATTGCAAATTATTAATCAATTCAGTTTGTAAATTGCGACTACCCAATTTTCAAGAATTTTATTTATTATTTTGTAGACATTGATTGAAGTTGAAAGTAAGTCTCATTGTTTTTATTATTTTAAAGTTATTTTATGTCCATGCTGTATAGCGTAAAGACTTGCTTTAAAAAAAAAATGGTTTCCTTTCTAAGGCTATTGTTAGTACACTTACCACAAATTTAGTTCATGGTGAATTGTTTTAGCTCTGTAAATTTTTGCTGCTATTATTAATAATTTCAGTTATGATAAAGTACGTTGGAGATTAAGATACAGGTTGTTGTCATGTAGGTTTTACCAAAGCATATAAAAAGAGAACACAACATGTGAAAATAACTTGTAATGCCTTTTTATGTGTTTTTTTCTGTTTTCCAAATTTTCAAAAAAATAAATTTTCATTTCAGTCATAGACAAATTAAAAGCTTTAATGTATTATTCCTTTAGCAGCATTTTATATTTACAAAATTTTATAAATTAGGATAAATAGAAATCATTTAGTTGCTTGTTAGAATTAGCATATATCTCTCTACAATAATTGTCTGGAGTAGGATATTTGCATATAGTTATTTTCTTTAGTATTTTTATGGTTAATGTTAAGCAATTAGCTGTTGATTTAAAAGTTTATGTAAATAGATTCATTAGATAATGTTATGTATTGAGTAATACAGTCAATTGTTGATAATAATTAAGCTGTAATATGACTAGTGATTAATAAGTATTCTAATCATGATTGTATTTTATTCATTTTCTTTGTTAGGCACTTTAATTTAATACCAATTCTATGGCACTTTAATTTTTAACAACTCCCCTTCAAACTGAGATCGGTTAGTAGAATAGTTTCGTTTTATAATGGAAAGCAGCGCAGCCACCCCTCGACTCGCGATGAATCCACTCTGCTTTAGGTAGCCAATAAGTGTAGACCATTAACAGCACAGTCGAAAATGTTGGAGCGACCGAAGTTTTTCCTCTTCATTCATTCAGATTGAGCTGGCCAGCTTTATGATATAGACGAGCAGAGAACTCTTGCTACAGGGTGGCATTTTGGATTTTTTTTAAATTTGAAATTTTTGGATTAAATTTTCATAAATGATTCGATGTAAACTTTGAGTGTTAGCTTTAAGTAATCACTTTTACCCATAAATAAATTGAACGTTATCTACATTTGAGTCCTAATTTAATGTAGGATCCATATTTTTTAATGTTTGCAGAAAAATCGTATAAATAAATGTGTAAACATTGTAATTTTATTAAAGTATTATCTTTTTAGATATTATGATTGAATTTGGTAACTTGAAACTGATGCCACTTGAAACTGCATTTGGTTACAAAAAAGGATCTCTGGATAAAATTAAAGTGGATGGTACAGTGAATGAGCGGAAGTGTGCTGCTTTTGCTCAGTTATCCCAATTAATGGCAACATTGCCATCCAATATACCACCTGAGGTACACAGTTTTTTTTAACCCATTAAAGATATTTAGTAATTAAACTTCTGTAATAGTTTATGTTTAGAGTCTAAACATTAATTTTACACCCCAAAATCATCTCACACAAGAATCTAAAAGGATTTAGATCTGGTGAACAAGGTGGCCAATCTTCTTGCTTGATACGACAAGGGACCAAGCTTCTGTTGTTTTGGCTCAGTGTGATGGTGCTAAATATGGCTGAAATATCCAATCCTTTTTAGGGATACACTCTGTCAACATGTGGCGATAAGTGTATAGCCAATATCTCCTTTTTGTTATATTCATCATTAATTTTTTTCCTTTATTGATGAAATGTTTTCCATTATTGGACACTGTATCTCAAACCATTACAGAATTCTTTATCTGAAATCGTTGTTTGGTTTGATCATTTTGAGGTATATCATCGATGGTTGCTGAATATACAACATTATTTTTAGCATGATAAATTTGTTCTTAACACTTTTGCTACTGTGCCGGTTCATCCCTTGCACTACAGCAAAAACCCAGGTCTTCATTTATTGTAACTTGCATTGTTTTATGACTTACGTTCTATTCTGCAGCCATTTTATTAGCACAACATTATGGATTCCTTCATATCTTTTCGCAAATTCTTTTAATGTACTCATTTGCACTTATTGTACAAAAGGTAAAAAGCTGTAAAGAACTGGGTTGATATTTACTATATTCTACTAAGTTGATATTCTACTAAGCTATTAGTATCCAATAATTGATTTATAGTTCTATGTATAGATGTTCTATTAAACCCATGAGATTTTAATTGCTTAAAGGTTCTACCTCAGTGGTTACCAACTGGCGGCCCGTGGGCCACACCCGGCCTGCCAAGCCTTTTTTTGTGGCCCACTGACTAAAATATATCAGTGTTAATTTTTTTTGGACAATTTTCGTAAAAAATCTATATGGGTTTAAAGTACTTTTCTTCGTTAAAAAACCCTAATTTCTTCATTTCTGTGAAATTTAACATACCAACAATGTAAAAAATTTATTTCTCAGGTAAAAATCTACTTCTTATTTTAATTAATATTTCAATACTTTTGTTTTCTACAATTTGATGTTCCTTCAAGAGTCCTATATAAATTTTTTATAAAGTTGCAGCCCGCCATTTGACTGGTGTTTTTAATTGCAGCTCACAACCTCATGTAAGTTAGAAACTCCTGTTCTGCTGTAAAAATTCCACAATCAAAAGGCTGTTTAACCAAAAAGCTGTTAAACTTTTTCGATTCCATCTTTAAACTGATTCCAAATAATATTCTTTAAACAAAAATTGTCTACACTTATAATAGAAAGTGCCACTAACAGGAATAGAGAGAGAATAATTGTTTTACCAAACTATTAGAATTGACTCTTACTTTTTGTAGTGTTACAGTATTTAGTAGATACCATATGAATAGCTTTGTTAATTTTATTTTTGTAGCAGTGTATGAATAAATTTACTTTTAATATTTTTCTAGACTCGCATTTAAAAATATGGACATAAATTTTATTAGGATTAAATTTGTTGACTTTTAAGTGCATTCTTATTATTTATTTCTTAATGTAAGTGAATGGTACTACTAAGGTTATGAAATTTTTTTATTAGTTTTAATAAAATGTTTCATTTTTAGATACAAGGTCTTGAATGGTTTCCTGAGCCTCTTGTAACAGCAGATTATAAAAGTGTTTTTGCGGATATGGAAATGACTCCTCTTGAGAGTATTAGTAGAACTAGTAATCGTAAGTACTGAAATTTGTTTTATTTGAATTTTGTGTTGAAAGCTAAATTATTCAACTGAACAAAAATCAGAAATTACTGCTTAATACAGTGAAAATTTGTAGAATTTTGTGTATGTATAATAAATATATATATAGATTTGTTGTATTTTTTAATATTAAACTTTAAAAAAAAAATTTCAAGTTTGTTTGCTAGATAAAAAAGTCTTTTTTTTCTATTTATCTTCAATTAGTCATATTAGTAAAAGAAGTGTATTTAATTAAAATGTAACAGGGTGCTTAGCATTTTTAAAAAGTGCTTAAAGGTGCTTTTTTCATTGGGTGTTTTTAAAAAGTGTTTAATTTTCCCTTTACCCTGTTGATTTTCACCACGTATTATGCAAAAAGACACTGTTCATATTGTTTTATTCAACGTTTTCACAATTAATTCAGCCCCAATCTATTTCGGTATGTCGTTAGTCCTTAGCGTATGAAAACGCCATTCGTTTTATGATTCCAAATTTCACAATTTTTGACAATTGTCAAAAACCTTGCCTGCAAAACTAAAGTTTTTTTTGGCATGACGGTTAAATACGGATAAAACCGTCAGTTGTCAAAAACTTGCCAACCCTGCCTATTAATTTTTTTTTAAAGTGCTTAAAAATATTTTTGAGTGCTAGAAAAGTGCTTAAAAGGTGCTTATTACCATATCATGTGTAAAGTAAGCTCCCCTAAACAAACACATGCAGAAAATTATTAAATTAAATTATACGTACAGTTTTAGATCAATATATGTTTGCAAATTCTTAGAATTTGGTAGACATTCTTGATAATACTTCTTTAGTTCTACTAAACTTTGTTTGAACTAAAAAATTATTCTTTCATAATGATTAAATGCAACAATAATTATAATTGCGTTATGCTTGTTAATTTTAAGTAATTAGGTTAGTAATATTTTAATATATCCTTATTTAAGGTATTTCGCTCTTTTTTTCCTTCCAACTCTGATGTTATCAATAATAAAGAATTGTTTCATCACATTTTATAGGTGTAGCTGCAGTTATGGGTGTAATGCTTCTCATAGTGGTTTTGGCACTTCTCCTATATATTTATCGCATTCATCGTCGTCATAAAAGAGAACGACTCGGAGAAGACATTCAAATGTACAGCAGAAGAGGAAAAAGAAGGCCAACTACCTGTGCTGAGCGAGCTAAAGGTAAGGACATGTAAATTATCAGCAAAGCTGAAGTGAAATGTTTACATTTTATCATTGATGCAGAATAATCTAAACTATCAAAAAAGTTTAGTTAGTAGTTGTGTTATATTAGTTATTAAATATTTTAAGACTAACGTAACTGATTCTTTTAAGGTAATGAATTAAAGATATCTTTATCCATAAAGTTAAATTGTGAATTTAATCATATGAATAATTTTTAGCCATTATGGTGTTTTCTGCTTCCTCTTAAATAAAAGCATGTTCCTCAACTCTAATCTACCTTAGTAAATTTTTTAAAATTTTATTTAGGGCATTGTTTACAATGTTGGATCAGCTTGCTTTGAGTACTTTAATGTTGTTTATGTTTAGTGTAAACTAACTGATTTTGACTCTTGTGCTATTAAAATATACATTCATGTGATCAACTTTGAAAGAGAAATATACACACAGAAAAATTGTAATGTACTCTCATTGTAACTTTGAAAAAATGCATGATACCCTAGCTTGCTATAAAAGTGATAAATATTTTAATTTAGAAAGTTCTTTTAAAAGTTGTTTGAAATAATGATCATTATGCTTTTTAGTGAGCTGTATGACCATAAACTTTTATTTCTCTGTAGATTATTTATATAAAATAAATGCACAGTATGTTTTTTTCCTTTTACCAGCTGTTAGTTTTTCTCAAGAAGATGAAAGAATAGATGATGATTATGATGAAGGTGATCTTCCACTAGTTGGATATCCTAAAACTCCATTACCAAATGTTCTCAACTTTCCCAAACCACCTTTTGGGACAACTGAGCCTAATGGAAAAGGCATTATTTTACAGCCAGGTAAGAATGAATATAGTGTACAGCGTAAGAAAAAAATTCAAACACCATAATATGTTTTAATATAATGATTGGATTTTCAACTACATGAACTCATACTTTTGGTTTGTGGGCCTAACCTTAAATATACTAATTAATTTCTGCAGAGAAAAAAAAATCAGCAATACCTAAAAGGCACAAAAATATACTTGCTTATTTTCAATACTAATTTGGATTCGTGACTCTTAGACTTAGAGATTGGGCAGCTCCAAAGAGATTATCTGCACATCGACCAGAGGTCTATTGTACCCGAACCCTAAATCATGATTAAAATGAAAGCCCTGTAGCTGAAATAAAATTCAACAAACACCTTAAAGGAACATCCTGCAGTTCCCTGGTTTTAATGCAATGCTGCCCCAAATGCTCAAATCTTTGAACAGAATAGACCTCACAATCACGAAGTATGTGTTGTGATGTCTCTTCTTCAAGATGACAACCGCGACAAAGAGAATGAGATTCAATTTCCATTATGTATAGGTGTCTCCTGAGGATGCAGTGTCCAGTAAGAAGACCAATGATCTTTCTTCAACTGTTTCGAGTAAGCTTTAACAGCTCTTTTTGACGTACACTAGGATAGCTACGATTCAGCTCCTTAGCTTGTGTCTGACCGTCAGCGACGTGCCATTGCTCATGGGCAATTTTGCCATAGAGCTTGAATATAGATGCCCTAAAAGAGGTGGGAGAAATTCCCAATGCAGGTTCAGGGCCCCAGAAAATTGCACTAGAGCCAGCCTGTGCTGCTTCATCAGCTAGCTCATTTCCAAGAATAACCATATGTCCACGTACCCAATGCAGGCATACCCTGTTATGAGTAAATAGGTCACAATGGACCAAATAGCATTCCCACACTAGCAAAGAGGTGAATTTACACTTTGACAGTGATAGGAGAGCCGCCTGACTGTCGAAACAGATGCGTATAGTCATATTTTGATATCCCCTGTCTAAGAATATCTTACAACACAAGATAATGGCAGAGACCTCAAATCCTGAGTCTTAAATTATAAAGTATAGTTGCCCTTATTTGTAATCTAATCACCTAATTAAGTAAAGATAAAAAAAAATGAAACTTTTACTCTCTATATAGCCATTCTTTATTTGAATTTCGTTAGTTTTGAATAAAATGAGTTATTGTTTTATTTAGATGGTCAAGTTGACAGTGTTGAAATTATTCCTCTCAGATCGACATCCTCTCAAGAATTAGAATGGGATCCAACTGGAGCACAACTAGTGAGCACTGTAAATACTTTATTTCATGTACCAAATTTTTTTGACTTATTATTTACTGTTGAACTGTTTATAGTGCAGTACATACCATGTTTTCTCAAAAAACAGACCCCCAAACTAAATATGTTATTTTATCATTCCTTTTGTAAGGTTTACCTTTAAGTAATGCTGTAGTCTGTCTATGGAAAGAACTCCCCCAGCCATCCGTCTAGAGTAGTGGCGTTGACCATGGTTGTGAGGTTTAATTATTTCAAGTATTGGTGTTATATCAATATTTATGACAGGTTAAGGCAGGTTGGAGAGAGAAGCTCTCCTCTTTGAAATATGTTTCTTGTTTCCATAGCAGCAAACTCTGTGGCGAGTGGAATTCTTACTATAGACAAACTATATCTTATATGCATGGTATTATAACACTAAACTCATTAGTAAACTGAAGGACATAAATTTTTTTCCAGAAATCCTTTAAGGCACTTTTTCTGGAAATTGAAATTTTTTTTAATTGAAAACAAATTTTATTGTATATTTAATAATAGGCTTTTTTCCAGGTATTTATTAGATCAAGTGAAAAATTCTTTGGGTTAATATTTAAGGATTGAGAGATTGTGTTAGAGTTATTTCATAGCAGTGTCTTAGGTGGACAGAAAGCTGCAATAATCCTTAATCTACACAGAAGTTCTTTCTAATTTCGTTGTTGTATTAAACAGTATAGCTGTTATAATTAGGGTATCAAAATATCCTTGTCGATATTTTATTGTGAAAATTATGTTTTAAAATACTAATTTTCTTATTGCAAACATTATTCTGTACTGATGACTCAAATTAGATATGGCCTCACCTCTTAGTTCTTCCGTGTACACTACACATGAGATGAAATGACTTTTGATTAGGTTTTGACTACAAGTCTGGCCAATTTTCATTATTCTGGTTTACTAAAAAGGTTCTACAAAACTATTTCAGNATAATATGCTACTTTAAGGTGCAATGTTTAATTAAATGGCATGATATTTCCCTGTAACTATTTGTCAAATTTGCAAAATGTCCCCTCTGTTACATTGCATTTTTTGAAGTTCATAAAAATGTGTAAGCAATTTAAGAAGTCTTATAATAATCTATTTTACCTTGAAATGTGATAATTACATTTACAAATCACAGAATATAGCGGAAATAACAGTGCATGTCAAAAATGTGGGATTTTCTTTGTCCCTTCTGTTACAAACGCTTTTAATTACCTGGCAATTAAATTATGAGGCTCTTTTATTATTTTATGCAATTAAATTAAACATTGCCCTTAAAAGTAGCATATTATTGCAAAATTTTTTGTTTTTACATATATCTAATACATTTTTTAAGATCAAATACAGTGATTTCCCCTCTGTTACGCTTGGAATTCTACAAAAGTTACAAGAAATAATGATCATTATTCTTTTTAGTGCGCTGTATGATTTATTTATCTGTAGATTATTTATATGAAATGAATGCAGAGTATGTTTTCATTTTTTACCAGCTGTTAGTTTTTCTCAAGAAGATGAAAGAATAGATGATGATTATGATGAAGGTGATCTTCCACTAGTTGGATATCCTAAAACTCCATTACCAAATGTTCTCAACTTTCCCAAACCACCTTTTGGGACAACTGAGCCTAATGGAAAAGGCATTATTTTACAGCCAGGTAAGAAGAAATAGAATGTACAGTGTAAGAAACACCTTAATATGTTTTTATATAATGATTGGATATTTAACTACATGGACTCATACTTTTGGTTTGAGGGCCTAACCTCAAATACGCTAATTACTTTCTACAGAGAATGAAAAAAAATATCAACAATACCTAAAAGGCTCAAAAATATACTTGCTTATTCTCAATACTAATTTGGATTTGTGACTCTTAAATTATTAAGTATATTTGCTATCTAGAAAAGATAGTCCCAGTAGTTAAAGCAAGTGAGGGGTGAAAATTTGGACCCCTTAATCATAATCTAATCACCTAATTAAGTAAATCTAAAAATAAAAAAAATGGAAACTTTTACTCTCTTTATTAGAATTTTGTCAGTTTTGAATAAAATGAGTTATTGTTTTATTTAGATGGTCAAGTTGACAGTGTTGAAATTATTCCTCTCAGATCGACATCCTCTCAAGAATTAGAATGGGATCCAACTGGAGCACAACTAGTGAGCACAGTAAATACTTTATTTCATGTACCAAATTCTTTTGATTTATTATTTACTGTTGAACAGTTTATAGTACAGCACATACCACGTTTTCTCAAAAAACAGACCCCCTCCAAACTAAATATATTGTTTTATCATTCCTTTCGTGAGATTTGCCTTTAGGTAATGCTATAGTCTGTCTATGGAAAGAACTCCCCTAGCCATTCATCTAGAGCAGTGTTCCCGTGAATCAAATGGTACCGGGCCGTAAATACTTAATACCCCAAATTAAAAATATTTGTGATCCATTAAAATTTTATTTATTTAAATAAAAGGGGCCCCGGATGGCAGCAGACTCTGTGGCGAGAGGAATAGTAAACTGAAGGACATAAATTTTTTTACAGAAATTCTTTAAGGCACTTTTTCCAGAAATTGAAAATTTTTTTAAATTGAAAACAAATTTTATTGCCTATAAAATATTTAAATTTAAGTTTTTTGCTTATATATTTAATACAAGCTTTTTTCCAGGTATTTATTATTAGATCAAATGAAAAAATTCTTTGGGTAAATATTTAAGGATTGAGAGATTGTGTTAAGAGTTATTTCATGCAGTGTCTTCGGTGGTCAGAAAGCTACAAATAATCCTTAATCTACACAGAAGTTTTTTTCTAATTTCTTTGTTGTATTAAACCGTATGGCTGATATAATTAGAGCATCTAAATATCGTTGTCGATTTTTTTTTTAAATACGTTATCAGAATGGAAGAATACTGTACCACAAAAAGAGTTTTCAATGTCAGACCAGTTGGCACATGAAAAAGAGGCAGGCCGAATTTGAGATGGATAGATGGCCTAGAGAAAGACTGTTTGGTCTTAAAAACTAAAAATTGGTAAACACTAGCAAAAAAAAAAGGTTAGACTAGAAAAAACTTCCTGAGAAGGCCAAGGCCCACCCTGGGCTGTTGAGCCATTGATGAGGATGATATTAAAATTATGTTTTAAAATACTATTTTCACATTGCAAACACCATTGAGTACGGGCGATTCAAACTAGATATGGCTTCACCTATTAGTTCTTCCATGTTATGCATCTTGATTAGGTTTTGACTACAAGTCTGGCCAATTTTCATAATTCTGGTTTACTAAAAAGATTCTACGAAACTATTACAGGGTTTGTTATCATTACTTGATTAGATTCGTATTTAGGGCAATAAAGTGGATACATTTTATGTAAGCAATAAATATATTGATTCTTTTGTCTGATGAGACACGCTATTTCAATCAGTGTAAACAAAATATTGTAAAAAGTTCACTGTTTTTAAACATTTTCTAGTTAATATTCACATTATAGCTTTAATTTTTAATTATTTCAGTTTACTCCAGTTTAACAAATAAATTATCTTGGTACCTACTCTCTTGTGTTAAAAAAAGAGTTTCACTGTATATTTTAAACCTAAAATTACATTGTAATTGAACCTCTCTTTTTAGAAAGAATCACCCCAAAATATAGACATCTCATTTAATGTGATTATTACAAATTAACATGGAAGTAAAAGAATATATATAAATATTTTTTTAAATTTAAGGCACTGGAGGATATGAATCCTGAAGAACCAGAGAAACCTGGAGATAATGAAAGCTACGATGAAGATACTCCCTTACCTCAATTAAAAAACCAGTTTGCACCCTTGGCCTCAGCAAGTGAAGTTACAATCAACAGACTAAGTCAAACTTTTGCCTGAGCATAGTTTTATTTAGGCTTATTATATGACTATTAAAGTTACTACACCGGTTCACTGCTGAAAAACTTCATTTGAGGATTGAATTTTTCATTAGACTTTTGTTTAGTTTGCTTATTGAATGACTCATATGCATTTTGCTGTCTCTTTATTTCATTCCAAGTAATCCAATATAAACCTAATTGTTCAATTTGTAAGTTTTTTTTTTGTTAGTTGCAGTAGCATTTTTATAAATAGTCAGTATTTTCATGTTTCATCTACAGGGATGTCAACTATAGTAGCATTTTTTTAGTTAACAATAAATTTCTTTCTTCAACTACAATCATCTTAAAATTACTGTTTTATGGCTAGTTGTGCAACTGCTAAGAATTTTGGATATTTTTTTTTAGTTTTATGAAACTATAACCATTATCTGTTTCGTTTCAAATGGCATGTTCTGCAGAATCTCTGAAAATTGAATTAACTGTAATACAGTTGTGTTGCATTTTTACGATTTCAGTTAGGACAAAATATTAATTTTTTTAACTGTGTAGTTCAACAAAAATAGATTCTGAATGCTAGTATTTAATAACTCATTAAGTTAAAATTATGTTTTATAATTTTTTATGCAATCACTGCAAATTTATTTAAAACTTTTTTTCTTCTTAAATTTCCTTAGTTACAAAATTATCTCGGTCTCTAACTATGTTGTTCAACTTGCGGCTACTATTTAATGATCTGTTAAGTATATATAAAAATTTCTTATTATATTCTATAAAATATTAAAGACCAAAACTTGTTGTTTTCTCTTTTAAAAAAGAAATACATATTTAAACAATTTGCTGTTCTACTAGATCTTTGGTCAAAATTCATTTTAAAAGGGGGAAGCCAAAGTAATTGGTATGTTCTTTTAATGGGAATTTGATTTCTTTATGAAAATAATCAACATATAAGGATAAAGTATATCTAAATATTGACATCCCTGCATTTTTTAGCTGTTGTTATTTTTAGATTGTTCCTGTGATATTAAAACATTCCTTCATTTCATTCAAAGTGACAAATGTATTTATACAACTATTGCTAAATTACCAGATTCAAATATTAATAGTTTATTTATATGTTATGACATTGTTATTATCTATATATAATTCCATCAATTTTTAACTACTTAAAACATATGTTTTTTTTTATTTGTTAAAGTGTTCACCTTATTATTCAGCATCTGGTGCTAAACTATTTTAATTAGAATTTATTTTTACTGCATGTTTTATTTTATTATTTCATTTATGTTGAAAAAAATATTTTTCTTCTTCGAAATCCGTTTAGTGTGGATTTAAATTAAGAATAAACTATTTTTTAATTAATAGAAACTATTAGTATGTGTATTAAAGCCGTTAATAATAATAAATAAAAAAAATTGTATCAGTATTTTGTGCAATATCTCATCTTGCTTATTTTGGTTAACATTTTTTCAATGTATATTGATATATTTTCATTATAAGTTGTATTAATTCAAAGCATTTTCTGTCACTAGTCAGTGCACACATTCTATCATTCATTTTAATAAATCAGTTTATTATATATAGTAGTAATGTTTCTCTTCCTAATTTATATGTGGTTAAAATTATACATGTGATATTTGCTTTAGGTCTTGGCAGATGTCAATACTATTTTGCAATGCATCAGGTTATTTGGAAATTAGTCACCAGTATTTTCTACTCATACCTATTTTTTTATTCTTGAGCCTTGTTTCATTTTCATGAATGCCTATTACTTATTATAGCCATTGGAAACATACAGTTGTCTCCTTAGGCTTTTTTAAAAGGCCACCATCCCTTAAAAAATCTGCCTTTTTATTTTATTTTTCAGGGAAAGGTTACTTAACTACCTGTTTTATTTAATAATTCATAATTATTTAATTTCATTCCTTCATTTTATTAAGATTTTTTTCATGTTGTCTAGTTATATAATTAAAATTCGCATGATATTCAGACTCCTGAGATATTCACATTTTTTATGAGTTTTTTTAGTGATTTTAAGTTATACCATTATTTTTTAATAAATATGTTTTATTTAAAAATGCACTTTTAAATGCTTATTTTCTCATAATTTTTAGTTTAAAATATTAAAAAAGCTTTCAAGTTGTTTATCAATTCCTTTTTTTTTTTAAAAGAAAATTTATATACACTGATTGTCTTTTAGCTTGCCTTTAATTATTTTTCATAAGCTTCAAGTTGTTCTGTTATTTCGATAAGTGAGTGTGTTTTACACATAAAATATGAGTGTAATTTAAAAATTGAGGATCAAATTCAGTTATTACATAATATTGCACATTACGATGAATTTTAAGGGTAGTAAGTTAGTGCCCTTTTTTTATTCCCTGGGAGAACTCTGCGTATACCACAGATTCATGAAGGTCGTGTCACCGGAGGCGAAATGGTTATTTTAAAAATTATTCATTGAATATGTACACTACCTGGCAATAAGGAAAGAAACACTTTAAAAAAAAAATTCTCACAAAACACTTGGATGATTATTTTATAACTTTTGTGGTTTTTAGATCATGCTATTTCTCAATTTGAAAGCTTTAAGGGACCAGCAATAAATTATGAATGAAATCTAGTATTTTTGAATACCCAATGCTAGAAAATATAGCAATAAGCTAGTAACTTGCATAAATTACTTTGGTTGTTATTTGCACAAAATTTCATAAGCTTAGCCTAACTATTTATGTAGATATTTATTCGCTAATTTTTTTGTATCACTTTAAAAATAAACTTTTTGGAGCAATTTTCAATGAATAAAAAAATTATTTAAAATTGTGCTAGATGTGGGCTTTTAAAATCATTCTTATATACTATGCATGTGCGCAAGCAATTTTTTTGCTTCATAATTTGTAGTGAATCGTATTAACTAATAAAAAAAAATCTGATTTGAAAATTTAAAAAGCTCGCAATTTTCTAAGTAGTTTTTGTATATATTTTTTTTTTTAAGTACAGTATAAAAACTATTTTAAAAGCCAAATTCTGCATAATTTTGTTTTTAATTAAAAATTTTTCCATACATTTTGTTACATAATTTTAAAGTCATAACAAAATTTGTTTTTAATAAGAATATTTATGTTTCCATAAGTATTTAAACAAAGTTTACGGAATTTCATGGAGTCATTGCAAATAAGTAATCGATGCAAAGTTACAAATTTATTGTTATACATTCTGGCAATGGGTTTTCAAAAATACTGGTTTTCTCCAAAAACTGAAAGCATCTCTTCCTTCATTGTAAGGTTATTTATATTACCAAGTATTAAGTAGTTGTATTTTTGATTTCTGAAAAAAAATCTTGTTTTTTAAGAACAGTAATGAAAAATAAATCTAATGTATGATAAAAGTAATTTTATTTTGAGATAAAAATTGCAGTCCAATTCCAATGTTACAAAAAAATGAATGCACAAGTAGCAGAAGTTAAAACAAACTGAAATATGAATGCAATGGGGAAGAGGGAAAATGTTTAGGTTTCACTACAATTAACATCACTGTTTCATATTTTGCAATCATTAAGGTGCCCCCAAAATCAATACATAGTTTTTTTTTCTTTTTAAAGAGAAACTTTTTTGTCTCCATTTAATTACATATTAAGAACCGTAAAAATATGAGCAACTTTGAAATAAGCCTGTTGTAAAATCTAAACTGAAAAAAAGTGAGAATAATTTATTTACATAATGACGCCAAAGATTAAAAACTGTAATGCCATGTTGAATATGATTAATTCTTATGGAATCTCTAACAAAAGTCATTTTCACATCTCATGAATGCAGTTATGATGAAATATTTACAAACTGTTAACTGATGCAAATATAATCGTATTTCCGAATACACATCACTTCTCCAGTTCCAAGAATGAACTTAAAAAAAAGTGCCAAATTTCGGACTAACTTCTGATACTCGTGAATGTAGATTAAGACAACTTGAAGTTGAGAATACAAAAATGGATCCTGTAAAAAAAGTTTTAAATTAATAAAAAGATAAAACTTTATAAAAAATCCACACACTATTAAAATATTTATTTATTTAATAACTAAATATTATAACAATTTTTATATCGCTGTTTGAAGACTAAGCTGATATAAAATAATTGAAACTGTATGGTTTAATTAGAACATGGTTACAGGTATCAATTCAGGTTTTTATCTAGAGTCTATTTTGTGAAAAAAATATAAAAATGAAAATATTTTTATGAAAATTTCTTAACTATTTAAAACATTCCATTTTGGCAGTAACTATATTTTACAATTAATATAAGTAATTCAACGCTAGTATGCACAGTAATTTGATAAATTAATATTTCATCAGAAATGAAATATAAATTTTTCAAAATTTTTTAATATTACGATATTTATGCAATGAAAAATAAGCTGCTTTATAACTACATAAAAAATTTCTCATAGACAACTCATGAAATGTCAATCACAATTGTTAAGTATTTACAGTTAACTTATTATTTAACAAAAAATATCTCATTGAAAATATATAAATGCTTTACCAGTAATAAATTCCCATTGAAAAATATTTCAACTAAAACTTACCGCAACAATTTTTTAATAAAATGCAAGTAATGCACTTTTGTCAGTTTAACGCTATTTTAGTAATTCTTTTGAATTAAATATTTTATGCAAGAAATTCTACATAGTCTTTTCAATAAACAACAGTAAGCGTCAAATTTAAATTTTAACTTACCACAAAGAAAGGTATATGATTCACTTTAATAATCCTCATCAGGCAGAAGTCCTATATAAGAAACAATATACAATTTATTGATACAAGACTAAAACAAAAAGATATGAAATGTTTTTATTTATTATAATTATTTCACATTAATTTAATAGAGGCATAATTTTTAATATAAAAAAAGAACCTAAAATCAAGCTGCAAAGGATAAAGTGTGCATACGAATTATAGAAATGTATTAATTTTTCACTTTACGAACATTAATTTAAAAATATAATTCAATATTTATATTTTAACAAATACAGTAGAGAACCAATTATCCGGGATGCTCGGGACCATCGCTATCCCGGATGTCTGAATTTCCCGGTTTTCTGAATTGACCAAAAAGTGTCGTTAATCGATGTTTTATCGAACGCGAATTACAAGGAAAAAGTGTAACGCATAAAGTAAGAGAAAAAAGAAAAGTACTCCTAACTTTAAAAAAAAAATGGTAGAAAAACAAGTTTAAAAAATACAAAATTCTCTGAATTTCCCGGTTTTCTGGATTGACCAAAAAGTGTCGTTAATCGATGTTTTATCGAACGCGAATTGCAAGGAAAAAGTGTAATGCATAAAGTAAGAGAAAAAAGAAAGGTACTCCTAACTTTAAAAAAAAAATATATGGTAGAAAAATAACATTTAAAAGAATAAAAAAAATTGCAAGTTTAGAAAAGAAAAACAAGTTTAAAAAATACAAAATTCTCGCATTTATTTTTTAAAAATAATTACAATTCCTAAATTAACTAATATAAACAAAACCAATGGTTAAATAACGCAATATATTTCATACCTAATTATACGGGGGAAACGATAAAATAAAAGGAAAACTAATTAACTAAATAAAAACACTTGAAAATTATCAAACCAAAACGATAGTTAAAAAAGGCATTAGCATAAATATTAAAACCCGGAACTAAGCAAGATCAACGGAATTTTAAAAAAAAAACCTAATGATAAAATTTATGAATAAAAAGAATCAATTTATTAAGTGCGAAATTTATCGTGAAAAGAAAAAAATATCATACGTAGTGGAATCAGAAAAACAAAATTGCAATCTGCTTCATAAAATAATCCTATGATTAAATTAATAAACAATTCTTCTATTTTTTTTTTGTTGATAAAAACACGATATTTAATTACAGCAGATGTGATTCCACATCAATAAAAACTTGCAAATGATACCGCACTTCCAAAGAATGAAAATTTATTCAGAAGAAAAAGATTTTATTTTTATTAATCGATGTCAAATAGATAAATATATTTTTCTCTTTCATCTTCTGTTCACTGATAAGCATGCAGTGCATTTTCCCCACTCCTCGTAAATCAAACAGAAAACGAAATCAGCATGCCACACTCTTGAGCTTGATTGACAGCCTAAAGGAGAAAATAAAACACTCCTCCCTCCCCTGCCTTCAAAGTCACGGAGGAAATGACGCTTCTCTGGGTAAACGGGGAAAAAAATTCTCTCTTTCCTTACATTTTTCTCTACTCAACTTCAAGAATGAGTTCAATTTCCGCTTTTTTTCATAATCGTTCTAGTTTAAAATGGCGGGAAAACCAATCAAAATTTTTCCCGGTTATCTGGATACCGGATAAATGGTTCTCTACTGTATTTATCATAAATTTTAAGGATTTCATATTGGTCAGTAAATATGCCAAATATCAAAAATATTCCCCAATTTTCGAAAGTCTTAGCCAAATGCAAATCTTAACAATTTCCCCATATAATTATCTAAGGAGGTTTAATCTGTATTTCAGATATTTTGTTTTAGGCTTACATTATTTGGACCCAATTCTAATTGGTCATGTGGCACATATACCGAAATTAACTGTAATCGAATAAAAAATTACTGACTTGTTTAGATGAATGACAAAACTCATTGATGTAATTTTGATGATCGAGTCAAATATATATATATTTTTTTACAGTGGGAAAAATCATTCACAAAAACACATATTTATTTGCCAAATTTATGATTCTATCGCGTTTGACAAGGTGGCGAATGCGTAGCGTGGGCCCTGTAATCAAACAGACTTTTTTCTTCTTCTTTCAAATAACACAACCTTACACATAAACAATAAAAACTACTAAACTAAACATTTGGAGTGCAAAAGTGAAATTTTAGGTGAATGAAAACTACAACTATCATTTTAAAATTAATATAAGGGTGAATTTTACACTAACATCAGGTACTACAAAAAACAATTGTATAAGGAAATTTATAGTTAGAATTCTTAATATGTCAGTAATATGTTTAATCTTATAATATGAAATGTTTTAACTCGTATTTATTTTTTAAATTGAAGTTTGTTTATAAGGAACTGAAAGGATCTGCCCAGTGCTTGCTTATCAACCTTTGAAGCTGTTTACACATTTAATATTAGCCCCCTTTTGCTCTATTCTTGTTTAATATCCTAACTTTTATACAGTATCTTTCACAATGTATCATTCATAATGTATAATTCATCAGAGGAGCAGTTTTCCCATGAAGAGGCAAAAATCAAGATAATGGAATAGGTATTTGATCGTAAAAAAAGCAACTCTACAATTTAATCACTCTAAAACTAATTACAAATTTAAAAAAAATAAAATAATATGACATATTTTTCATGTTCAATCATAAGAGCACAAGGTTGCAAATGATAATTCAACTACTAATCGTTTTTGATAAACTAAAGTATGCCATAGCAATTATAACTTACTTCTGTGAGTTAAACATTGTGCACCACCATGGTATTGTGACTACTCCCCAAAAGGATTAAACCTTTTGGACAACATCCCATAACTTAACAAGGGATGTGGTAGAAGCATAGATCAGGCTTATCTGGCAAGACTACAGATCATATTTTACGCACAAAGCTTTTCTTAACTGACAGTTGCGCCAAACAGAGCCAAGATTCCACCCCCTTTCTTTTAAGATAATCGCAAAAAAATTGAACCAGCAAACCATCCAGTTACATTCAGCAATCAGTCAATATTCAGGAGAAAAACTTATTATTGTGGTCAGAACGGGATTTCAATGGTTCTGGAACATTAATTTTGAATCCTAGTTTGTATTAAATTATAACGCATTTGCTATAATACAACATTTTTAGAACAAAATAAAGAAGTTTACCCTTTGCCATCAGCACTAGCAGGATCTGGTTTACGGTCTTCTTTTTCAGCTAAAATAAACATCAAAGTGAACCATGCATTATTTATAAGCAGTAAACATATTTAGTTAAATTAACTAATTTAAAACTGTAAAATAATTCAAGATATCTATCTATATATATATTTAAACCTTTTATGTCAGTTTCTTTCTTAGAATCAGTATCTTCATTCTTGTGCTTTTTCTTTGGCCGATGAGAGCGCACATCCCGACGCCCGTCCCCTTCATCTTCACTATCTGAAAACTCCTCATCGCACGCTATTCTCTTTTCGGAAGCACGAATGCTAATGCGTTCATCAGGATTTTCTTTGTCTTCATCCTCACTTTCATTGTCAATGGCATCTTCAGGAATAGCTGATAAAAAAGATAAAATAAATTTTAAAAAACATTTAAACACATATCTAAACATCTCTATTTTATACCAGTGTTGGGGTTTTGGACGTCCTAAATTGGTTCTGGACAGCACATGTGGGTTTTACTGGCTTAAAGTGTCCAAAACCTTATATTTTGGTAAAAGGTCAAAATTCTATAGGTCTAATCATTGTACAAATAATTACATATATTAATAAATATTTGATATTTTTTTATGCAATTTGCTTTAAATTATTAAAGGAATATAATTTAATATAATAGGAAAATATTTATTAGTTGTGAAGCTCCATAATTCACTGAACAACAAAATTGAATACCTTATCCTTTAAATATGAATAAATATGCTTTTAATACTGATAAATTATATTTTTGCATCAGGATAAATAATGCAATATTAAAAATAATAATAAACTTTTTTAATAAAACAAAAACTTGTCCTCACTTTGTTTCTTGTTCAAAAATTAACCTTTCATTTTTCACAATATTTTTTTTTTAACTGTGACATAATTTAAAAAAAAAAAATGGTTTTGGACAGGACGATTTTAACCGCGGATAAATCCGTTCTGTCCTAAACCTTGCCAACTCTGTTTTAAACATATATATATATACATAAATATATATATAATACTCTATTTTATATATATACATAATACTTTTACAAATATTGTTTTGTGGTTTTCAAGTTTCAATTGTAATGACTTGGACTTTTAATCAAGAGTTAAATATAAAATCTGGTTTTGACATTTTATTTTACTACTGATCATTGTATTTGTCATCACCAGAATTTCATTAGCATAAGTTGAAGACCACCATTTCTATTAATGCATATTAAGTGCACATTAATGATATTAATTTTTAAAGGTTCATTAGCAAAATTTATGATTTAACAAATCCTATTTCAACTTAATTTTACAACTGAAAAAAAAAAGATTAAAATAATCTTACAATAGTGCTTGGCAAAAATGTGAATATTAGTAAAAATTTACTTAAAGTTCTGGCTTATAAATAGTGATATATGAAGAAATATAAAAATGAGTTATTAGTTGTTACTTTCAACATAAAAGGAACCATGAGACTCAAAACATATATCAAGTAAATAGGTTTACAATGTAAAATTCAAATAAAAGAGGAGTAAAATCTATAACTCACGCTGCATCTGTACTCCAGGTGCATGTGGAAGCATTCTCAAGTTTTCAAACAATCGGGTTCTAGAAATATATATTGTTTCAAAATGGGATACTTTCAAAAGGGAATGCATTAATTTTATAATTTAAATTACAGTATATGCATAAATTATTTTTAAATAAAGCTCAGAATAATAAGACATTATGTAACTTGCTATTTGGAACAAAATAGCCTTTTTCTTACTTCCTAAAAATTTTATAAATAAATAGATTACACATGGATGATAAGTATTAAAATCAGAAATAAATAACTATTCTTGAAGCAGCAATTAAAATAAGTAGTTACCTTATTTTTTCCAGATATTCAGGAGTGTTCTGATTAGCCATGTTTGAAGGGCTAATGTGTAATTTAAAATCAGGTCCAAAATATTCAAAATAGTCATTGTACGGTAATTCTGAAATAAAAATAGTCTGTGAATAAAAATGTTGCACAAAACAAATTGAGCACTGACTTGTGAAGGAAAGGAATAATAGTTCAGTAAATTAGCTAATTATAATTTCATATAAAAAAATAGTTGTCTTACTTTAAGTTTTAAGTAAAAGCAATTAAATTCTTACTAAAGATATCAGTGGTTTAAGGCAGCAACTAACATCAATGCTCGAATTATGATTAGTAAAATAAAGTATTTTGTTTCATAAAAGCAGCAGATCCATAGATTTCAGATTTGAAGCATTACAACCAAATATTTGTTCAATAGATGAAGAGAGTGCGTAGTCAAATTATTTAACAAAAAATAAGCACCTTTTAAGCACTTTTCAAGCTTTTGATAATTGACGGCTTTATCTTGTTTTAACCGTCATGTCGGGGGAAAAAAACAAAAAGTGTTGGCATTGCTTTGACAATTGTCAAAAATCATGAAATTTTGAATCGTGTAAAACGAACGGCGTTTTCAAACGCTACGGATCGACAATGCGCCAAAATAGATTGGGGTTGAATTAATTATGAAAACGTTAAAAAGAACAATGTGAATGGTGTCTTTTTGCATAATTCGAAGCGAAAATCAGCATAGTAAAAGAAAAATTTCATTTTGAAAAGGGAAAATTAAGCACTTTTTAAAAACACACAATGAAAAAAGCACCTTTAAGCACTTTTTACTAACGCTACGCACCCTAGAAGAATACAGATTGAGAGCAATTTGTGTAAAATTATTTCAGAATTTATTCTTAAATAAAATGGAAAAGAAATAATTAACTCCTTGGAATGATCAGCTATTGATCTGGATTAACACCATTCCCTCTCATATAAAAGAAAACTTTACAAAATCAAATCTTTGTCATTTGATTTGCAGTTAATTTTAAAATCCTGGAAAAAAAAAGAAGAAGAAAGAAACACTGTATATTTTTTTTTCATAACTTCACTTACAAATATTTTGCCATTAACATTAATGTAGCTATCAAATTATTTTAATTTAAAGCTCAAAAATAATATATAATAATGTAATGGATTTTAAGATTTTAGAGCACAACCTATTAGATGTAAAATCAAATATACACTGCTCACAAGTAAAACATTTAAGTTAAAACTCAAAATTGCTTGATACTAAAAATAAATAAATAAAAACAGTAATAATTTCTTTTAATTATTTTTTAAATGAAGAAAGCATTATTCATAGATACAGTCGGACCTCTATCTCATGAAGACGCTAAATCCTGATAATAAGTTCGTTACATTTGTTTTTGAAATACTTAAACGACACAAAACAGGTTTCAAATTCATAAACACTAGACATAGTTAAAATAGCAATGGATACACCTTCATATTGTAAAGTAGTCTCTACTATATATTTTATAAATCTTAATCACAAAAGAAATCTGCATGGAAAACATGAATAGAGCAAAACATTAACCAGCGTTACACAATCATGCTACATACATTTTCCACTAAAAAAAGATAAATTTATGCATAAAATTATACCTGCATTTATCATAAAAGTAATTTTAAACATACATTACCACATGCATTCTAAAGTTTAAGTGGCTTCGAAATTCAATTCAAGGTTATTTCCCCCGTAAAATGCGTTAACAAGTTTAAAATGTTCAGAAATAGTTTGGGAAATAGGGAAAGAGGATCTCAAAGAAAAGTTCGTTTAATAGAAAATCCACTTCGCTATTTGGAAGCTATTTTATGAAAAATTCGCAAAATGTTTCTGGTTCCTCGAAAAAATTCGCAAAATGGAAGTTTATTATACAGAAGTCCGACTGTAATTATATTTTACACCAGATACAGAAGAAGCAGATAAATTAAACGTATAAAAAATACATAGATAAAACAAATAAAGCAGTGGTAAGAAGCAAGGCAAAATTTACCATTAGCAACATCCGTATTTAAAGCAACGGATGTTTCATGTGTCCAGCACCGAGCAACATTTCTGATTGTATATCCTCCACCTCCCAGAAGCAAAAGAGGAAGGTTATATTTCTTCACAAATTCAACACATTTGCCGTGACCCTTCAATGTCAAATTGAAACAACCAAGTCTATCGCCTGACAAAGAGTCAGCACCACATTGTAAGACAATAGCACTCGGTTGATACATCTCCATCACTTTCGATATCAGCTGTAAACAAAAGAGTCAGTTCATTCACCTACTAATAATATTGTTACATATTCAATATTTGAGTGACTGCCTTTTCCGGTAAAAATATTTAAGTAATAATCGTATGGTTTAGACACTATTTAGACAAATAATAACTGCTTTGATAATAAATAATAATAATCAATAAAACCTAAGAATAGAATGTCAGACGTGCCAACCTAGCAAAATTAACATTCAGGAGTTTCCCTAACAAGAATTCAGGAGATTTCAGGAGGGGTAAAAAAAGGTGCATGGTATGCAACATTTGGCACTTCTAAGGAATTTTAAGTAAAAAATTTATTAAATATAAGAATGCAAGAAATTTTACACACTAATAGAGCAATAATTGTTTAAAAATATTAAATGGAAATAAAATAATTAAACACAGATTTAGCAACACAAAACTATATTAGGTAGATACTCTTTAAATAAATACCATTTCCTTAATAAAACATTATTCAAAAACCCGACACTGTAATAAAAATACACAAAAACTTTTAAAAAATAAACAAATTGAATAAGTATTTTATTTTAAAAAACCAATTCAATACTAATGTCTGTACAATAAAGAACCAATTATCCGGGATGCTCGGGACCATCGCTATCCCGGATGTCTTAATTTCCCGGTTTCCTGGATCGACAAAAAAGTGTCGTTAATCGATGTTTTATCAAACCCAAATTACAAGGAAAAAATGTAAACACATTTTAAAGTAAGAGAAAAAAGAAAAGCACTCCTAAATCTAAAAAGGAAAAAAATTGTAGAAAAATAAAATTTAAAAGAATAAAAAAATTTGCAAGTTTAGACAAGAAAAACAAGTTTAAAAAATAATTACGATTCCTAAATCAACTAATAAACAAAACCAATGATTAAATAACGCAATATATTTCATGGGGGGGGGGGCGAAAATAAAAGGAAAACCTATTAATCTAAATAAAAACAACACTTGAAAATTATCGAACCGAAACGATAGTTAAAAAACGGCACTAGCATAAATATTAAAACCTAGAACAAGGCAAGATCAACGGACTTAAAAAAAAAAAAAAACTAATGAAAAAATTTGGTAATACAAATAATTTTATTGAGTGCAAAATTTATCATGAAAAAGAAAAAAAAAACGTAGTGGAATCAGAAAAACGAAACTGCAATCTGCTTCATAAAATAATTGTATGCTTAAATTAATAAACAATTCTCCTTTTTTTTTTTTTTTATAAAAACGCGATTTTTAATTAAAGCAGGTGTGATTCCACATCAAGAAAAACTTGCGAATGATACCGCACTTCCAAAGAATCAGAATTTATTCAAAAGAAAAACATTTTATTTTTATTAATCGATGTCAAATAGATAAATATATTTTTCTCTTTCATCTTCTGTTCACTGATATGCATGTGCAATGCATTTTCCCCACCCCCTCGTAAATCAAACTAGCAAACGAAATCATCATGCCACTCCTTTGAGTTTAACGACCTAAAAGAGAATAAAGATCTAAAATCTTCAAGGTCGCGGAAGAAATGACGTTTCTCTGGGTAAACGGGGAAAAAAATTCTTCCCTTCCTCACATTTTCCTCTACTCAACTTCAAGGATTAGTCCAGTTTCCGCTTTTTTTTTCATATCGTTTTAGTTCAAAATGGCGGGAGAACCGAGCAAATTTTTTTTCCGGATTATCTGGATACCAGATAAATGGTTCTCTACTGTATGCATGAAAAAAAGAGTTGCAGACTTAGCTCTCCGCAATTAAGTCTTGCTAAAGTCATTGGTACATGATTTGTTGAAATTGATCCATACTTCCGTTTCGACTTAAGACATCCTTGAAATTTTTTTTTTTTAAATATACGAAGACTAAACGAATAATTGATATCACGTTGCTAGTTTACGAGCTTGTTGCCAACCGTGGAAAAATACGCATTAAAAACTATAAAAACAGCAAGATACAATATCAATTCCAACTATCGAGAGTACGAGTTTCCCCACTCCTGAACGGACGTCACTCGATAACGACATGTGACGTCATTGCATTCAACTCCACACGAAAGAAGAGGAAGATTTCACCCGCCCCCAGTGTAAGGGGGCGGGTGAAATAGGAGTGTTTTTAGAGGTAACGTTGAAGAGGGGGGAAAATAAAGCATGTTCAGCTACGCTTCAGGCAGATGGTAGTTTGATAAGAGGGGATGGAATTCAAGCTGAAAGAAAAACTTACCTTCGCACTCGCGGAAAAATTAGGTAATTTTGAGTTTGGCCGTCGATCGCAGTAAAATTCGGGAGTTTTTCAAATCAATTCCGGAGGGCGGGAGAATAACTCAAAATTCGGGAGACTCCCGCAAAATGCGGGAGAGTTGGCACGTCTGGAATGTGGAGAATTAGGAAAATATAAAATGTTATGCGTCAAAATAGTAGAACGAGTATGACAGATGTTAGGTTGGTAAACAAACAAAAATAAGATATAGCAGTCAAAATAATCTAACCTGAGAAAATATAATAAAATAAGAAGTCCATTAGTTAGAGTTAAAATGCCATTGCATTTTATTTTATATTTTCATCTCTTTTTAATTTTAATTAAAAGTAACTAGAAAATTTTATTTACAAGTTAGAATATCAGATTTCCTTTCAGAAAAACAATGTGAAAACTTATTTCACCACAAACCTCACAATAATACTTATATTTTGAATTTAATTAAGACTCAAAACTTTTGAATTCCTTTAAGTGTACTGTTTGCGAGTATTCCATTGTAAACCCATGTAGTTTTTTGAGCATTCCAGACAGTTTTAAAATTTGTATTTGAGTAAATATTGATTTTATAATTCTCAATGTACTGATTCCATTGTTAATCCACAATTTTCTCGTTCATTATCGATGATTAATATAGGGGGGCACAACTGTTTTGAGTGAAGGACCGCACTCATATTTAGTCATGTTAGTGGCAAAGATGATAATTTTTATCTAAACACTGGTGTTCAAAGCACCAAATATTTTTATCAGTAAACTTAACATATTTGCAGAAAACTATATACTTTTAATTATTTTAATTTAATTAAAGACATAAAATTAAAAAAAAACTAATAAATTTTATTATTTTTCACAATAATTAATTTATCAAATATTTATATATAATTCATTTATCAAATACATATAACATAAATATTTGGGGGGAGGGGATATAAATTCTAACCAAAAATAAGCTTATGGAATGAAAGTGCAAAAAAGTATGCATTTTATAGAGTAATATAAATTTTAATTAAATATTTAATAAAAGAAAATTTATAATGTTTAAATAAAAAACAAAGTAAAAGAATTTTTTTATTGTGACCTGAAGTTCCCGCGGGCCGCACATCAACAGTCTGCGGGCTGCATGTGGCCCCCAGTCCATAAGTTGTGCACCCCTACCTTAATACCATGTTATTACAAAGCAGGAATTTCAAATTCGAGTGATTCTCGTTTTGACAGGCTTGAATTACAACGATTCCATCATAAATCTTCAGTTTTCTGACATTTTTTTTTTGCCATTTGTTCTTCATTATTTCAATCATTTCTAGATGGTTCTCCAAACACCAATATTTTAAATATATTAGGACACTTGATTGAATCTATGTCACTTCCTGAAGTGCATGATTCAGAACTAATCTGTTGTAAATCTGCCTGCTTTTTTACCATCATTTCCTTGGCACTTATTTATCATTTTTTGAGTTTTTTTTTTCCCACAAGGTTTTAACAATTCTAACAATTGTAATTACTAATATTATTACTAAACAAGATTTTGAGGCAACACTTTTGGCGAATTCAGTTCGTGACTATTGCAAGGTAAATTCACAAAATTTTTTTAGTATTTTAATTTGATTTTTCAAATTTCAATATTCACGTTAGCTTTCATGCGACCCACCCGGCTTTCCCTTGAATTTAGTAGAAAGCAGTAGCTTGATGAAGAATTTATTATCAAAATAACTAATAGAAAGAATAATAAGGATAGCACTATAGTAGATACTGCTGAATTTATAAAGTTCTATTAAGGAAAAATAATTGAATCATAATTAACACCAACATTTTAAATTATAACTAACACCTTGAAATTATTTTAACATCATCGTTTAATTATATTTAATTAAAAAATACCTATATCGTATTTTAAGTTATCATGAAAGGCATTAGATGTATTTAATATCATTATTATTGTAATTTCTGTCAGAGTTTTGTATTAATTTATTAAATCAAATTCATTTTTTCTAAATCCACAGTTATCGTAAATTCTAACTTTATTAGAGAAACTTTCAAAATATCATGCAGATTTTTTGGAGATGTGAGTGAGGTAGAAGGTATTCCCTAAAAGTGGGTGAACTTTGATTTGCAATCATTCTACTGAGAGTAGGTTATTGAAAAATGACTTACAGGTTGAAAAATTCCTTGCTCGTAAGATTCATCATCAATTCCATCTCTAAGAGGGAAATTCACAGCATAATATTTGCCTTTGCCTGCACCAATATCCTAAAGAAGTTAAGAACAGACACAAACTTTATTATTTACAATTTAAAAATTTAAGCACATGCATAAAAATAAGAAAGAAAATACACTTCAATATCTTTTTATGTCATTAATTTTTTTAAACTTTAAATGAAGTGGTGCAGAAATAATTTGCGGGTACAACCAAAATGCATCAATATGAAATAGATAAACAGTATGCAAAACTAGCAAATTGAAAAAAGAAATGGGAAAATGTTTATGAGTAATACCTTTCTTAGATATAATATCGATATAATATTCAACACACCACAATTGACAACCAAATATTTAGGACTGGCAAGTGAATTTCGTCTTATAAAATTTAGTGTTTCAAAATTGTGATATTTTTCCTAGAATTGCGTGTTTTCAGTTTACAAATATTAAAAAAGGATAGCAATAGGCTTTAAGAGGGGGTTAACTTAACATATAAAGATGCACATAACGGATGGATTGCTATCTATGTTAAAAGGTGTGTCAAAGTTTTAGATGCCTTGAAGTAGTTTTCCAAAGTATGTCTTTGAACTTCCTGTGATGAAATCTATACTGTAGAAGTATGTTAGGATTTAGATAGATTGCAAATTCAGCAGAATTCTGCAAAACTTTTATTTTACATAAGGTTGAACAATTTTTTCAGGGTACTCCCATTGACTTGGTTTTCTTAAATTTCATTAAGAATATTATAAAGTATAATTTTTTTAAAAATTTAACATTTGAAGATTATTTTTTAATCTGATAAACATGAAGTTAACTTACTTAAGTGAAATATGCTATTTAAAATTAACTAAAAGATTCTAACAAAAGTTTCTTTTATGAAATATTCACAATTTATAAGTAATAAGGAGGAAAATTGGTGAAAATTAATTTAAGTATGAAATATAAGATATTTTGGTTTCAGACCTAAAAAAAATTAATAATCTATTTTATTATAAGATCAGGTCGATAAAGCGGGTATAAAATCAAGTGTATTTTAGCTCTAAAACTGAAGCATTAAATTAATTTTACTGAAAATTTTGGTGTATTTTATAAACATTGGATTTACGGTAACATATTAAAAAAGAACATGTTTTGATATACACATTTTACCCTGGTAAAGTGGGCATAGTTGTAAAATTTGCATATATTTTACTAAAAAACAAATACAAATATTGTTTTAAAAATAAAAATGGTCTTAAATTAATGTATCATGATTATATATTTTTAAAAAAAATTTAAATGTTTTCTTCTTCTTTTTCGTATTATTAAATTAGAGTTAATGTTCAAACTTACCATACATATACTATGCATAGGTGCAGAATGTTTTGCTGAACTCAACACAATTTAATCAAAAAGCAAGAAAAGTGTAATAGCTTTCGGTTTACTTGAAATATAAATGAGAGTGTAAAAATTAATACCTATAGTGTTTTTACTATTTATTGCAGATATGTATTTTTCTTGAGTCAAGTTACTTTAAGGAACTTTTTTTGTTTTCCATGAAAAAACTGCCATATGAAGGCAGAAACTTGCATGAAAACTCCTCTATATCTTTCAGGGTTGCCACTCAAATCTGAAAAANACAGCTTTTTAAATCATTTAAAATTTTCAACTTTTTAAAAAGTTTCCATGCGTTTTGAGGTGTGGCAATTGTTAAAAATTATATAACTGGCTACTACAGGGTTGCCACTCAAATCTGGAAAAAAAATTCCCTGTGTTTTCCCTGTGCATGTTATACGCAATATATTAAGAGGAAACAACAATTACTGTGCTCTCGTGTGAGCTATATTGGGCTAACTATATTTATTAGTTTCAATTGCTGGGGAAAAACAGCTGAACATACTTAAATAATGCTATGGTAAATGAAATAGTTTAGTATAGCTGAAGTATCATGGTTAAACATCCCATAGATTACGCTTTGAGTGGTCACCATTTTTTAAAAGACCAAAATAAGAAAAAACAAAATTCCCTGTATTTTCCCAGTTTGTAAAGAAAAAATCAAAATTCCCTGCATTTTCCCTGTTATTTAAGGTGATTTTTAAATTCCCTGTATTTTCCAGGTTTTCCCTGTTCTCCCTGTGGAGTGGCAACCCTGTA